TGGAAATGATGGCAAGTTTAACATGTGTTCATAATTATCTCATTCAGCTTTGGCATGCAAACCTATTTTTTAAGATTGACTAAAATAAAATGTACTGACATGTCTTCCTGCACACGACATTTTCCTCTGCGTTCAAGAGATGACAACTAATCACACAAGATGTGACTTGGTATCTATGTGGTAGCCCAGTTTCCTAAAGATGTAGAAAGACAGGTTACAACCATTGCCAGACAACGTCTTCCGATGATTCCGGGAGCTTATGCTTAGACTCCATGCGGGCTGTTCATGTGTTCTTCTGAAAATGTTTTTGTGGCATGGCCAAAGCATGGCAGCCCGGGCCTGGCTTATTCCCTCTGGTGTTGATTCAGAATTTCTAGGCACTGAGCAATCACTCTATCGTGAATGGCAGACGCAGTGTTGTCTTCATGAGGCACAAATGTCCCGAATATCTTGCATTCTTCTCTCCAGCATGTCACTTCTCGTGAAGGAAAAGCCCAGCAGCAATCACAAAGCTTTCCGAGTTTAGGCAAGAGCTCGATGGTATTTACTCAAATTTTCTCTTCTGTCCTTTCTTCCCTTTTTATTTTTTTCCTAATAATCACACAAGGGCTAAAAGAAAAAAAAATTATATAATGAACAGGTTCCATTGGATAGCCAAATAGTCTGTGACAATGTAATCTGGCTTGAAAATGTTCGAGTTGCTTGAAAAACACACTCAGACGTGACAGAATGCAGCTAGCTGGCCTGTGGGGAATACGTTGACTGGTGTTGACTAGAGTAGGGGAGAGGGAGGCCCCATACACTGTTTTCTCTCCCAGGGAAACCTGTCTCCCTCCCGGTTACTGCCTCCTGGGGGCTGTCCCAGTTTTGTTTTGGCTGGTGGTCGGGGTGTCCTGGGGTTGTTCAATATAGCTTAAGAATACTCTCAAGATAACTGTCTCTGGAACCAAATGGGTTCCCATCCTGATTCCTCAGTGACCTTGTACAAGTTACTCTACTTCTCAAGCCTTCAGGTTTCTTGTCAGTAATGTAGTGGGACCACTTCACAGGGTTTCTGGAAGGCTCAGAGAAGTTAGTTAATTCATATCACCTGACACATAATATATGCCCGTAGGTAGAAACTCAAATTTCTGTTTTCTTAAAGTTGCTGTTTTGGTTACAGAACACACACACGCATTATTGCTCACTTGACCCTCCAGAGAGGTATTGTAATCAACAGTGTACAGAGCGAGGGGCCTTCATCTGTTCCAGCTGCCATAACAAATTACTGTAGAATGGGTGGTTTCTAAACATCAGAAATATATTTCTCACAATTCTGGAGGCTGGAAGTCCAAGTTCAAAGCCCCCGTGTGGTCAAGTTCTGGTGAGAGCCCTCTGCTGGACTGCAGGCTGCCAACTTCCTGTTGGCTCCCCACGTGACAGGAAGAGGGCTGAGCTCTCTGGGGTCTCTTTCCTAAGAGCACTAGCTCTGTTCATGGAGGCTCCACCTCCAATACTTTCCAAGGGCTCCGCCCTCAAGTACCACGGCTTTGGGTTCAGGGTATAACATGTGAATGTGAGGGGCCCAGAGGTAGGGTGTGAGACTCCTTTTGGTGTTCTCCTGCTACACTGTTCTTCGCCATGTTTATGCAAATAGAGGCCCAGCTGTCTCTATACACATATAATATGAACACAGTACAAAATTTATAAGGTGCACAAAAGGTAAACCATAAAAGAGTAAGGCTTTGTCCCTCCTCTGTCCACCAGGATTCCCTTTGTTTCCCCAGTCTTGACTTTTTCTCAAGTGAATATTTATTTTTTTAATGAATTAATTAATTTTTTATTATGTTAGTCATCATACAGTACATCCTTAGTTTTTTTTTGTTTTTTTGTTTTTTGTGGTTTTTTAAGATTTTTTATTTATTTATTGGACAGACAGAGATCACAACTAGGCAGAGTGGCAGGCAGAGAGGAGGAAGCAGGCTCCCCACTGAGCAGAAAGCCCGATGCGGGGCTCGATCCCACAACCCTGGGATCATGACCTGAGCCGAAGGCAGAGGCTTTAACCCACTGAGCCACCCAGGCACCCCACATCCTTAGTTTTTGATGTAGTGTTTCATGATTCATTGTGTGTAACACCTGGTGCTCCATGCAATCTCTTCCTCTGATTCCCCCCCTTCATTTTCCCCTTCCTTCTCCTAATGTCCTCCATGTTATTCCTTATGTTCCACAAGTAAGTGAAACCATATGATAATTGACTTTCTCTGCTTGACTTTATTCACTTAGCATAACTCCTCCAGTTTCGTCCATGTTGATAAAAATGTTGGTTATCATCCTTTCTGATAGGGGAGTAATATTCCATTGTATATATGGACCACATCTTCTGTATCCATTCATCTATTGAAGGGCATTTCGGCTCCTTCCACAGTTTGGCTATTGTGAACATTGCTGCTATGAACATGGGGTGCATATGACCCTTGTTTTCAATACATCTGTATCTTTGGGTTAAATGCCCAGTAGTGCAATTGCTGGTTTATAGTGTAGCTCTATTTTTAACTTTTTGAGGAACCTCTGCACTGTTTTCCAAAGTGGCTGTATCAACTTGCATTCCCACCAACACTGTAAGAGGGTTCCTCTTCCCCCACAACCTCTCCAACATTTATTGTTTCTCGCCTTGTCAATTTTTGCTATTCTAACTGGTGTAAGGTGGTATCTCAGTGTGGTTTTGATTTGAGTCTCCCTGACGGCTAATGATGATGAACATGTTTTCATATGTCTGTTAGCCATTTGTACATCTTCTCTGGAGAAGTGTCTGTTCATGTCTTCTGCCCATTTTTTTTACTTATTTGTTTTTCGGGTGTTGAGTTTGAGAAGTTCTTTATAGGTCTTGGATATCAGCCCTTTATCTATAGTGTCATTTGCAAATATCTTCTCCCATTCTGCGTGTTGCCTCTTTGTTTTGTTGACTGTTTCCTTTGCTGTGCAGAAGCTTTTTTATTTTGATTAAGTCCCTGAAGTTCATTTGCGTTTTTGTTTCCTTTGCCTTTGGAGACATGTCTTGAAAGAATTTGCTATGGCTGGGGTTGAAGATGTTACTGCCTGTGATCTCCTCTAGGATTTTGATGTACTCTTGTCTCACATTGAGGTCTTTCATCCATTTACTCACATTGAGGTCTTTCATCCATTTAGAGTTTATCTTTGTGAATGGTGTAAGAGAATGGTCAAGTTTCATTCTTCTGTATATAGCTGTCCAATTTTCCCAGCACCATTAGTTGAAGAGACTATGTTTTTTCCATTGGGTATTTTTTCCTGCTTTATCAAAGACTACTTGACCATAGAGTTGAAGGTCCATATATAGGCTCTCTACTCTATTCCATTGGTCTATGTGTCTGTTTTTGTGCCAGTACCATGCTGCCTTGGTGATCACAGCTTTGTAATATAGCTTGAAATCAGGCAACGCGATGCCCCCAGCTTTGTTTTCCTTTTTCAACATTTCCTTGGTGATTTGGGGTCTTTTCTGGTTCCATACAAATTTTAGGATTGTTTGTTCCAGAACTTTGAAAAATGCTATTGGTATTTTGTTTGGAATGGCGTTGGAAGTATAGATTGTTCTGGGCAGCATAGACATTTTAACGATGTTTATTCTTCTGATCCATGAGCATGGAATGTTTCCATCTTTTTGTCTCTCTTTAAAATTCTTTTGTAAGTGTTCTGTAGTTTCTAGAGTATAGATCCTTCACCTCTTTGTTTAGCTTTATTCCAAGGTATCTTATGGTTTTTGGTGCTATTGTAAATGGAATCGATTCTCTAATTTCTCCTTCTACGGTTAAACATTGTTAGTGTATAGGAAAGTACCTGATAACTGTGCATTGATTTTGTATCCTGTCACATTTCAAATGAATATTTAGATGGAGTAGTCTTCTGTGGCAAGTCTTCTTCTCCAGTAGGTGACCAATGCAATATGAATTTGAGCCTAGAAACAATATGTATTGTATGTTCACATCTGGGAAACACAAGAAGTTTGATGTAGAGGATGAGCCCCTTACAAAACCACTGAAGGGAAAATGAGACGCAAACTCTGGGGAAGGCCTTCGAGAAGCTTCTAGAACGCCTCCACAAAACTGACCCATCATGGGAGCAGCTACCTGGGCCCTACTCTGGAAGCTGCTTCCAGAACCTCCTCCCAAAGCCGCCACCACTGCCACTGCAGCGCCTGCTCCACACTCCCAAAGATGGACAGCAGGTTTCAGCCACTGCCTTCAATACACTTGCCTCTTGACACCCAATGCTGGAGAAACTCACCATACCACAGCTTCCCAGCCTTGCCTGCCAGTAGAAAAGTTCCAAGCAGCAGTCAGTGGCCTCGGTCTTGTTTCCGCCTACTGAGTCTCAGACCAGTCTGTGGGGTGGGAGGAGTCTAATTCCTATCCAGAGCTCTAGGTGCCAGGGATTCTGGGTGTGAAACACAGAGCCTGCAAGCTTATGTAGTAGGAAGGCACCCTAATCAGGGTGAGAACCAGCTCAGTGGTTTCTGGTTTAACTTTACATTTTTTTTTAAGACTTATTTACTTATTTTAGAGAGAGAGCAAGGGGAGGGGCTGAGGGAGAGGGAGACAAGCAGACTTCCTGCTGAGCGAGGAGCCTGATGTGGGGCTCAGTCTCATGACCCTGAGAACATGACCTGAGACAAAATCAAGTGTCAGACCTTTAACCATCTGAGCCACCAAGGTGCCCCAGTAGTTTCTATTAAAAAAAAAAAAAAAAAGCATATCTGTATGTATTGGTTTATGTTTTTCACCTTTTTTTTTTTTGTCCTTTTTTTGCAAAAGCCATGGTTAGTCTATCCACTCCTCAGTTTTCTTACTGTTATTTCTTTCAAGACAGACTTGGTGGCACTAGACAGCTCCTGCGTGGAAATGGATGGTAGAGTGTGTTCACACAATATGCTATGTAGTATGTAGTGTGTATGGATTTGCAATATCGACCTTCACTCTGTAATATTTTTTAGATTCCCATCCATCATGGCTGCCATCCGGCTTCGAGAATTTATTGACCGCCGCCCAGTGATCCCACCCAGGTAATGTCCTTGCAGACAGAGATGCCATCCAGAGCTGCCCTGGGGCAGTCGGACACCTGGGGGGCCAACTTGCTCACCTGCTGCTCTCTGATTGACAGCTGCTCCCAGAGGTTCCAGTGACATTTCTTTGGGTTTGGGGAAAGTTAAAAAAAAAATCCCACACTCATGGTAAAATCCAAGCAAATAGGCAACTTCGAACTCCCCGAAGAGGGAAGGATATTGGTTTTTGCTTGGAAAGCCCACATTTTAGTGGGGGGCCCTTTACTCTGCTTGGAATCAAACAGACTCCTTCATCCTTCTGCCATATGGGGGGGGAGTTTGAACAAATTGAAACTAAGTAGGATTTTTATGCTTTCTCCCGATTCATAGATGGCCCAAGACTAACAAGTCCTAGATGTGTTTTACTGTGCTAAATTCATTGCTGAGAGATAGTGGATAATAATCTGTAGATCCTAACCTCGCCTTCCCTTCACCACTGGCCATGGGGTCTGCAAAGGGTTAGAAGCTATGAAATTCAGGCAGGAACTCTCCCATAGCAAGTGACTTCGGGGTCAGCCTCTTTGGCTTCGTGGTTTCAAGTAAGCCTCATGTTTTGTTTTCGTATCTAGTTATTTTTAACAATGTTTAGTCAACAAAGATAAGTCCTTCTGCTTCCAGAAATTACTGAAGTAGGGGCAGCGAAAGGATGCTTTGTTCCTAGATACTGTGAGTCCTCTTCGGAGAGGCTCCAGACTACCCTTAACCCACATGAGGAAGAACTGGAGGAAGACAGGGATGGGTTCCTGTATTTCCCAGTTTCTGCCTCCCCACAAGCCCTTGGTCTTTCTGAGTGTGTTTGAGGCCTGTCTTGTCCACTGTCGGGTTATTTAACTGTGGGTCATCCTGGGCAAAATGGAAACAGACCTCCCCCAGATGCTGCTGCCTGGAGTTCTGTGGAACCAAGTCAGAGTCACTGGGCCTGGCCTAAGCCAGCCTGTGGGAAGTCTGAGGGTTAGGGTGGGATGCAGTGCAGGAGGCAGGGGGTCCATGAAGTCCTAAGGTGGGGGGGCTGGATTCTGTTCTCTGTGCTCATCCATCGGAGCCCCACAAGGAGGCAGGCTGCTTGAACTAGGCTGGGGTCCCAGCCTCCCCACCGTACTCACGGTGGAGCTGGTCCTTGTGGACTTGACGCCATTGATCTCTGCAACAGTGGGCGGGGGGGGGTCCAACCCTTCATGAGGTTCCTCAGTGGTACCTCTGGAATGTTATCTCCCACACTCAGCTGCCTCTCCCCATCACCGACAGCCAACTGCCCACTCTTGTCCTCCTCCCTCCCGTCCTCCAGAGGGCGCTCCATGAAATGTAAATTGGATCAAAGCCCTCCGTTGCAGGCAACCCTCCAGGCACTGCATGTGGCATAAAATCTAAACTCTGCTGGGGCCTATGCGGCCCTCCATGAACTGGCCCTGCCCCCGCTTCAGCCTCCTCCCTCCTACTGTCTTTCCTTTGTTCCCCCAACAGGCCCGCCTTGCTCACACCCAGCGCATATTCGCTCATTTCATCTTCACAACGACTGTGAGGTATAGAGGAGAAACTGAGGCATGGAGTAGTTAAGTGACTGTCCCAATCCTAGAGATAGGATTTGAAGCCACGGGTCTGGCCCCAACATCTGTGCTCTTGATCCCTGCACTTGGCGGCATGTCCAGGGAGGTCCCTGGGGTGGGCTCATTTGCCCCCCTCCGCCCACCACTGTCACCTCTGCGGAGCTGATGGCCACAAGCAGTAGTTCCTCAGTGCGCATTTGTTGAAAAAAAAAAAAAATGAACATGAATCAGTGAGTATCTTGTCACAGATTTGTGGCTTGGCATCCTGCTGACTGGCAGTCGCTGTGGAAGGCACGGACCTCCTCCTTCCTCTCAGACAACATCAGGTTCCTCCCTACACACCCAAATCTTGGCTCCTCGTGAGGGAAAATGGAATCACACACTGGCAGGGGCACCTGATAAAATTAAATATTCAAGGGCTCACACAGCTCCCTTAAGAATTGTATCAGATGCAAATGTGACTTGCTGTCACCCCCAGGCGACAGGCCCCACTCAGGCAGGGCTGAGGGCCAGGTTGGTCTACAAAGCACAGGATGCTCCCAAAACGATTGCTTCGTGTGGAGGAAGCACAGTGCAGTGTGGAAGAGAAAAGATAGCAAATTTCTGTCAAACATAAGATGGATTTTTAAAACACCACCTGAAGTGGTGTCTGGGAGACCCAGAGGCAGCTGTTCCTTCCCAGAGCCATGACAGCACCTACCAGAGATCACCAAGGATGTTCACATCGTCTGGTTGACTCAGGGAGTCATTCCAAAGGGGTGATGGTGCCCCACACTTTACTAACAGGGAACCTGAGGGTCCCCTCTTCCTTGAGGGGATAACGAGTCTGGGAGATGGCAGAGCGAGCATGGTGTTGTCCCATCCTCTGTGCTGACTTGCTCATGTCCTCTCTAAGTGACTCATTCCCTTGAGCCTGTTCCTGACTGGCCCAGCGCTTACTCACTGTGTGTGATGAGTTAGTGCCTGAGTGTGGTTTCCCTACCAGATCATGAACTCTTGGGTAGAAGACAGTATTTATCATCACTGTGTCCCTAGCACCTGGCCCATGGCGGCCACAGTAGGGCCTTCAATGGGGAATTGTCTCACTGAATGGAAGGCCGCGTCCATCAGGGCCGCACTATTCCTTCTCCTCTTCCTGTGGTGCACGACCTCTACTTCCTGTCTGCCCATGAGAGAACCCCAGAGTTCCTATAGAAATAGCACTGAACTCTTCTGGAAAAAAGCCATCCTGTGTACACGGAGATGACTCTGGATGCCCCATGGAGTTCAGCGAATGGGGTTTGATCCGTGGCTCTGGCGTTTACCAGGCAGGTGATGTTCAGAGAGCCTTGACCTTTCTGAGCCTCAATCTCCTGTTCTGTAACAGGGTGTTCGTAATATTTACCTGGCAATGTGACTGGGAATTAGATGAGATCACCTTCCTAAAGCCTGAGGCTCAACACAGACATAACAGAGGATAGCACAGTCACTTAGGATCATGGGCCACCTCGGGCCTTGGGGCCAGGTTCTTGAGGGATGAACACTCTTGGCTTCTCCTGTACGTACTGAATTTTGTCCATGGACAAGCCCAGATTTCTGCTCTGGCAACATGCACCCGCCCAGGGGACAGGTTGGCTCTTGCCTAGACAGAACATGTCACCTGAAAGAGCTAAGCTGTCAGAGACTGCTAAACAATGTGTGGGGGAATCAGACAAAGCAGGACTCCTGCTCCCACACAAGAAGGAAAGACCTTCCTACAACTTGTTCAGGAATCTTGAGAGCCAAGTTAACGGATGGGCCTAAGCAGAGCCCGGCACGTCTCCTCAGCCAGGTCCTCTCCCAAGCCTCTCAGGAGAGGCCAGCCACGGTGAGGCCTCTGGGAACACGGGCTGGCAGGCCAGGGTGGGCATTGCCCCTCATTAAGCTCCTGCCAGGGAGCTTTCTCCTGTTTGAGCTGAAGTTAGTCACCCGGGATGCTTGGAAAGTCTACCCAAAGAGTTGGAGGCAAAAGCCGCCCTTTATTCCCCAAACCATTCTGCTTCTCCACCCAGCCCTACTTCCCTCCAGCACCCGCTCACACACTTTCCCTTCCTTTCTCGACTCCTGGGCCAAAACCCACCAAGAGACATTCCCCAGGGACGGCGAGCAGGGCTTATTACCCAGTGCTGGCAAAGAAGGGCTTCTCCATTCTCAAAACAGCTTTGGCAGACTACGTTCAAGGAGCAGGGCTTAGGTGACTCACCTGTATACAGCAGGCACTGGTTATATGCATGCTAGGGAAGAACCCATGGTCAAAACTCAGCCTACTGGAAATGACACAGCAACTGTGAGAAACCAGTGTGGCTTTGGAACCCCACCTGGGTTCTTAACAAACCATAACACGGCCCTAGGGTCATCTCTCCAAGGTAGCGCTTCAGAAATGGGATGGTGCTCAAGAAAGTCCCTCTCCCAGGCGCTCAGAAATGTCATTTTTTCCGTGTTATTGTGCCAGTTCCTCCCGCTCTGTATGACTAAATCCCTGCTGTTATGTACTCTTCGGGGCTCAGTCACATCATCCCAGCCATGGGGCAGGTCCGGACAGCCTGTGATTTTCTGAAAATCAGAGCTCCCCGAGGTCCTGTTTGCCGAGACAGACAGACCCACCCTGTTCACAGTGCTTGCCTTTCATACGTTCTAGACAGCGAGGTTCCCACCGGCCCCCACACACTCCACACGGATCCCAACCCTGGCCACATCTTGGCTTCTAAAATTCGCCTCACCTAGAATCTCTTCTCCATCCTATTTGCCTACCCCCACTTCCCTCCACACAGCTCAGGGTTTCTCCGGTAGTCAGTGACTACCATTGCCTCTTGGCCAGTCTCTATACCTCTCGTCCGATGGTCCTCCACTTTGTGGTCCACGCTGCCACTGGAAAAGATCTTTCTAGAATAAAAATGTCCCTAAGCCTTTCATCTTCTTTTTTTTTTTTTTTTAAGATTTTATTTATTTATTTGTCAGAGAGAGAAAGAGAGAGCACAGGCAGGGAGAGTGGTAGCTGAGGCAGAGGGAGAAGCAGGCTCCCTGTGGAGCAAGGAGCCCTATGTGGGACTCGATCCCAGGACACTGGGATCATGACCTGAGCCGAAGGCAGCTGCTTAACCAACTGAGCCACCCAGGTGTCCCGCCTTTCATCTTCTTTAAAATGCTACCAAGATTCCATGTCACCTACAAGAGTGGTTCTCAACCTCTCAAGACACAATGCTCCCTTTATTTATAACAAATATCTTGTAATGTTCCTCCTGCTCTTCTGAAATAAAATCTGCAAATAACATAATCCAACTACATGCAATTCTTAAATAACTACATAATGCAGGGACTATAATCTATAAGGAAAAGTAATTGATTATAAAATAAGATGTCCTTCAAAAGGTGAGGTCTGGGCACCACCGCACCCTCACCGCGCCTCACCGCACCTCGTCTCGCCTTGTCTGCCCCCAGTTCTGAGGGTTCAGCTATCCTCCCTGTCTCACCTTCACACCCAGAAACACTTCCTACCCCCCTTTGTGCCTCAAAACTTCCTCAAAACCCAACCCTCCCCAGCGGGGCTAGGCTTCCTCCTCCAGCCCAAAGCGCCCTATGCCTTAAGCCTGTTCATTAAGCCAGCTCATTAATCCTGTTCATTTCTTGCATCATACGCTTAATCATCACAGTTTAAAAAACAAAAACAAAACACTTGTGAAAGATTGTAAATCTACCCAAAGTAGAAAAAAAAATCAGCATAAGGAACACCCATTTATCCATTTTCACATTGCAACAATTATCAGCATTTGCCCCCCTGGTTTTATATGGCTTCTTGTTTCTTTTTCTCATATTTTGAAACTAATATCTGACAAGACAAATATTTCCTTATGAATCTTGAGAACCAAATCCTGAAAAATGGGTAACAGAAGATACTCCCGTCAAGAAAGAAATTCCATGGGTTTCAAGAGCTCCTTGCCAGGAACCAGGGGCAAAGTGCATGGAATTTTTTATCAGACCACAAGTGGCATTCTTCTGTAAAGAACTAATGGTAGTAACTTCTTTTTTATTTTTTTTTAATCCCCCTCTTACTTTCTCTACTAGTATATTCATCACTCATCAGGGAAAGGACGTCCGAGGATATTACCCCGGGCAGCTGGCTAGAGTCCATTTTGATTCTAGTATGAAGAGACACCCCAGGTGAGACACCTTCCCAAATCTTAGTTCTCAAAAGTTTCACTAAAGCGAGAAGAATAAGTGAAAAAAAAAAATGGGAGTCACAAATTGTAGTCATAATAGTAATAAGAACAGATAATAATAATTGTTATTTAATGGATTCAAAAAATGTGGGGGGCACCTGGGTGGCTCAGGGGGTTAAAGCCTCTGCCTTAGGCTCAGGTCATGATCCCGGGGTCCTGGGATTGAGCCCCACATCGGGCTCTCTGCTTGGCGGGGAGCCTGCTTCCCCCTCTCTCTGTCTCTGCCTGCCTCTCTGCCTACTTGTGATCTCTATCTGTGAAATAAATAAATAAAATCTTAAAAAAAAAAAATGTGGAAGGAGCCACACCAAACTGTTAACAATGGCTTTTTTTGAATGGTAAGAGGGCAGTATTTGATTTTATTTTTTATCTTTTTCTCCATTTTCCAGATTTTCTCTAATGAACATGTATTACTTTATAATCAGCAATAAATATAGAATGTTATGAAATCATCAAAGAAATTTAAGAAACATCATGAGTTCAGAGTTTCACCTTGTTCAAAAAACTTACCCTTCCTGAGACTCAGTTTCTCTCTCAGTAAAATTGTGAATTTGGCCTAAATGGTTTCTGCCTTTCCAGATGCGATTTTTAACAAGAAGAAAAGGAAAAAATAAAAAACAGTCACTTCGATATTATTTTCTAGTTTGGAGAGGCTAGAAACCATAGTAGTTAGGAGCCACAATTTGAGTTAACTTTTGAAATGGTTGATCGTGGGCAACCTTCTCTCTAAATCCTTCTCTGGAGTCGGTTACCTTATCTGTTAGGTAAAATAATTGGTGTAAAATTCCAGAACACAGTAAGCATTCGAAATATGATTGCTATAATTTTGAGTTCATTGTCTAATATATTTTACAAATTTCTTCTCTTAATCGCCTTTTACTATAGTCAACTCTAGATTAGCCTCCATGTAAGGAAAAGGGAGCCATGCCATCTATTAAGCAGCACAGAGTCTTAACTTAATAGAAGATCAAACTAGAAGTAGCATTAGAGGTCATTCTGATCCAGTTAAGTGAATAAGATTTAGCCCAGAGAAGTGCCATGTATCGTACCCGAGGTACAGTTGGTTGGTGTGAAAGCAGGTTCTTGGAACTACGCACGTTTTCTGATTTTCAGTTCAGGCCTTTGTGTTCTAATTTAAATACACAATAGACTAAACTCTTGTCGAGGGTGGCCCCACCACCAGGGCACTCTCCCCAGGGGTTCTGTGGGCTGTGACGACACCCCCCGACTCCAATACCCAGTACCTGAATGTCAGTCCTCACCATAGGACGGCTCAGGCAAAGGGAACCTTGACTCTACTTCTACTTGACTCTGACGAGACCAATGCCCACCCAAGACCAGCCTTAAGGGGGAAACTGAGTGCACATACCACTCAGTGACTTTAGTAAGCTTCTAGTTAAAAAGAAGGAAAAGATAAGCCCCTAAGCACTTTCCACTCCTCCCACCAAAACAAAACAAAGCAATAAAACAAACAAACAAACAAAAAAACGGGAAATAATGCAGTTCTTGGGACAAGTCCTATCTTCAGTTTTTGTGGTTGTAGTTTAATTTGATAGGCGTCTCGTGGCTTACCTTCCCCAGATATATTCCTCTACCAACTTAGTGTTTCCAGTATTAGAATCGGATCCTTTGGATGAAAGTCTTATCTTCAGGACACTGATGTATTACTTGAAAATGGCGACTCTTCTGGTTCCATAGAAACACCCAAGGCGAAGGCGGAGTGGGCGGCCAGTCCAGCAGGACAATCACCAGGATGTGGTTCCGAAGCCAGGCACAGAAGTGACCAGACATCCGGGATGGTTACACAGAACCTGACCTCACGAAGGACTGACCTGTTGGTCAGGCAACTGATGTTTGATCGTTGCGGGGGTGTGGGGCATGCCCTTGTAGGGAAAGGAGTGTTCCTGTCCACCATTTAGGGTAGCCACTTTACAAGCCCCAGTGCCTGTTAAGCATAAAATAAGAGCAAGTAGAGGTGGGCAGGAATTCTCGATGTTTCTCCAAGGTGATGAACCATGGAGCCCCTTCCATCCACCAGATACCCCTCCACCCCCCACTCCCCACCCCCCAACCTGTACCACACCCAAACCGTAACATTCTCGCCCTTGCTTTCCCTGAACTTTGGACAGAACCTATCCATTTCTGCTAACCACTCATTGAAGAAGGCCCATTATAATCAAGTTTTTAACCCAAATATGGAATCACAATACATTATGATTATATAGTTTCAGTCACCTTGTTTAAATGTGATTAATCGGGGCGCCTGGGGGCGCAGTGGGTTAAGCCTCTGCCTTCGGCTTAGGTCATGGTCTCAGGGTCCTGGGATCGAGCCCCATATTGGGCTCTCTGCTCAGCAGGGAGCCTGCTTCCTTCTCTCTCTCTGCCTGCCTCTCTGCCTACTTGTGATCTCTGTCTGTCAAATAAATAAATAAAATCTAAAAAAAAAATTAAAAAAAATAAATATGATTAATCATGGTGATCCCATCAAGTAAGACTACATCCTACTAATAGATGATTGGGTTTAGATGTTCCTAAATCTCACCCAACATCTGATATTTTTCACACCTAGAGCTGCTCATTTCATATAATTTATAGTTCAAAAATACCCATGTTGGGGGAACTGGCTGGCTCAGTCGGTAGAACGTGTGACTCTCAGTCTCTGGGTCATGAGTTCAAGCCCCACATTAGGAGTAGAAATTACTAAAAAAAAGGAAAATAAAATAAAATTTAAAGATATGCATGTTTATTACAAAATTCAGAAAACATTAGTAAAAAAAGAATTGAAATTACCCATAGTGTCACACTCAGAGATAATCATGCAGAATATTCCAGATCTACATAAAATGGAATGAATAGTATTTTTTCAAAGATTTTATTTATTTGAAACTTTTTTTATTTATTATGAAACTTTTAAGATCTACTGTCTTAGCACCTCCCAAATATACGATACAGTATTATTAATTATAATCACCATACAGTACATTATATTTCCAGAACTTACTTTTTGGAAGTTTATCCCTTTGACCTCCTTCACCCTTTTTACCCCATCCCCCAGCTCTGCCTCTGGCAACCACCATTCTGTTCTCTTTTTCTATGCATTTGTTAATTTATATTCCACATTTAAGTGAGATCATATAGTACTTGTCTTTCTCTATTTGACATTTCACTTGGCACAATGTCCTCAAGGTCCACCCCTGTTGCAGCAAATGGTAGGTTTTCCTTCTTTTCGTGGCTGAATAGTATTCCTTTTTATACGCATACACAACATCTCCATCCATTCGTCCGTCAATGACCACTTCGATTGTTTCTGTGTCTTGGCCTTTGCAAATAACACCACAATGAACGTGGGGGTGCAGCTATCTCTTTGAGACAGGAATTTCACTTTTTTTCTGATAAACATCCAGAAGTGGAATTACTGGATCATATGATAGTCCTATTTTTCATGTTTTGAGGGACCCACATACTGTTTTCCACAGGGCTGCATCAGTTTGCATTCCTGCCAACAGTGCACAAGGGTTCCTTTTCTTTTTTTTTTTTTTTTTTCCAACACTTCTTATCTCTTGCCATTTTGATAACAGCCATTCTAACAGTTATGAGCTGATAGCTCGCTGTGGTTTCCATTTTCATTTCCCTGACAATTAGTGACTTGGAGCCCTCTTCATGAACCTGTTTGCCCTCTGTACATCTTCTTTGGAAAAACAATGTCTATTCAGATTCTCTGCCCATTTTTTAATCATATTGTATTTTTGCTATTGAGTTGAAGGAGTTATTGAGGTATTTGGATATAAAGTCCTTATCAGATCTATGATTGGCAAATATTTTCTGCCATTCTGCAGGTTGCCTTTTTATTTTGTTGGCTTCCTTTACTGTGCAATAAAAGCTTTTTAATTTGATGTAGTCCCATTTATTTTTGTTTTTGTTGCCTTTCCTTTTGGTGTCAAATCCAAAAAGAAAAAAAAAAATCCTTGCCAAGATTGATGTTAAGGAATTTACTCCCTATGTTTTCTTCTAGAGTTTTATGGTTTTAGGTGTTACCTTCATGTCTTTAACCTATTTTGAGTTGATTTTTGTGTATGTTATAAAATAGCTTTATGTGTTGCATGTGGCTTTCCAGTTTCCCAATACTACTTATTGAAGAAACTATCCTTTCCCCATTGTATATTTTTGGTTCCCTTGTCATAAATTAATTGGCTACATAGATGTGGGTTTATTTCTGTGTTCACTGTTCTGTTCTGCTGATCTATGTGTCTATTTTTATTCCAATAGTATACTGTTTTGATTACTGTAGTTCATAATATGAAATCAGGAAGGATGATATCTCCTCTATGTTCTTCTTTCTCAAGATTGCTTTGGCTATTTTGGTCTTTTATGGGTCAACTTTTAGGATTCTTTGTTCTAGTTCTATGAAAAATGTCCGGAATTTTGATAGGGGTTGCATTGAAAATGTAGCTTGCTTTGATAGTATGACCACTTTAGCAATATTAATTCTTCCAATTCATGAGCACAGACTATCTTCCCATTTATTTGTGCTTTCTCCCATTTCTTTTATGAATGCCTTACAGTTTTCAGATTACAGTTCTTTCACCTGGTTAAATTTACTCCTAAGTATTTTATTGTTTTGATGCAATTGTAAATGGGATTGTTGCCTTAATTTCTGTCTGATAGTTCCTTGTTAGTGCATAGAAATGCAATAAATTTTTGTACATTGATTTTGTATCCTGCAACTTTACTGAATTCCTTTATTTTTTTTTTTTTTGAGATTTTATTTATTTATTTGACAGAAAGAGACACAGCGAGAGAGGGAACACAAACAGGGGGAATGGGAGGAGAAGCAGGCTTCCCACAGAGCAGGGAGCCCAACACAGGGCTTGATCCCCGGACCCTGGGTTCATGACCTGAGCTGAAGGCAGATGCTTAACAACTGAGCCACCCAGGAGTCACTACTGAATTCCTTTATTAGTTCTAACAGGTTTTTTTGTGGAGTCTGTAGGGTTTTCTGCATACAATGATGTTATTTGCAAATAGAGACAATTTACTTCTTTTTTTCCTATTTGGATACCTTTTATTTCTTTTCCTTGCCTAATTGCTCTGGATGGGACTTCCAAAACTATGTCGAATAAAAGTGGTGAGGGTGAGCATCCTTGTCTTATTTCTGATCTTAGAGGAAAAGCTTACAGCTTTCTACCTTTGAGTATGATGTTAGCTGTGAGCTTTGTCAGATAGGGCCTTTATTACACTGAAATATGTTCCCTTGATACCCACATTGTTGACAGTTTTTTTTTAATCATAAATAGATGTTGAATTTTGTCAAATGTTTTTTTGCATCTATTGAGATGATTGTATGGTTTTTATCCTTCAATTTGTTAATGTGGCATATTTTGTTGATTGAATTACAGATGCTGAACCATCCTTGCAGCCCAGGAATAAATCCCACTTGATCATGGTGTATGATCCTTTTAATGTATTGTTGAATTCAGATTGATAATATTTTGTTGATTAAAACCTTGTTCTTTATAATACTTTTGAGATCATTCACATCCCATACAACTCATCCATTTAAAGTGTTCATTTCAACTGAAACCTTTGTTTAGACCGAATTCTGTATTGCAGACTCTTTCCCATCTCAAAATTTATAATTCTACAGCACCACTTTTAGCGGTGGTAGGGTACTCTTATATATATTCGTATCATTTTCTAAATAATCCCCCTTTTTTCCACATGAAGATTATATCCATTTCTTTATGATCATAAAATACTTTGGTGAGCATTCTAGGAGCTAAGTCTTTGCTGACATTCCTACTTTCTGGAGTTGCTGCGACAAGGTATATGCACATTTTAAGGATATCAATACTCATCACCAAAGTATTCTCCCACAAGTTGCCCAGTGAATGTGTACTCCCAGAAGTGCATGAAGCTATTCCCCCATTATATACTGATTCTTCTTTATTTTTACCTTCAGAGGGTAGTTATCTGAGTGGAGGTACAGGAAAGTTATAACTAATTTCAGTTATACTGAAAAATTACAATGGGAAAGGGCATTGGGGAGATCTGGAGTACAGGAAGTAGCCACGCATGAGCAGACCCTACAGAAGTTTTCATGCAGGTCACCTTCTGTAACCTGTGATTGGGCAGGAGGAAGGATGTTAAAGCAGGGGAGCAGGGAACCAGGATCCCTGAGCCACCCACTGAAAACTGCTGGGCTGACCCTGGAGCTATGGAGTCTTGCCAATGGCATCTCAGTAGCCTCCTGGCTACTTCCAGAGAGTGGATCTCGGCTGATGAGAACATGGAATGCGTTTCTTCTACTGGATGGTCAGTAAGCTCTTTCTATTTTCATTTAGACCTCTCATAGACTTGACAATCCCACCCCAGAGAAAAAGTCCGATTCAGCCTCAACTCGACCAACAAACTCTCATTCGTTATATTTGTTTCCGAAGACATTCAAAGCCTGCTGAACCATGGTATAAAGAAACCACCTACCAAAGAGACTATTCTCTGCCATTTTACAAGATCGGTAAGTCAGGTCAACCGCTCTTACTCTCTGAGATCAACCTCTCCTCAGATGAGCCTTTCTCATGGGTTCGCTGCCATCAGGGACCAGTCAAATTGGGGGAAAGCATTCATGTGTGCCTAGTGCAGGAAGAATTTTGAGACTGAACCAAGGCTGCTCTCCTCTTTTTTCTAGCTCCCTATGGAATCAAGGATAAAAAATGCACAAATGTTCTTGGTAGGAAGCATACTCAAGTGTGACTACGTCTCACTGAGCTCCTTGTTACTCAACAGATTCCTTATTGTGCCTAAACGTATTATTAAGGGAAATTTTTTTCTTTCTTATTCTCCCATTTTAAATGGCTTTCTAACAATTATTTGACATTTGAAGACATATTTCAAAAATTTCAAAAATTTCTGTCTATGTTGCAACATGTGTGAGTATGAACAACCAAGCCCCCACACCACGTGACCCTGGGGGTACACACATGGACACCGATGTAGACATTACCTGTATTCCTGTTGTCATTGATGCTTTGAATTTTAGCAAGTGGGAGGAGTTGCTGCATTGACAGACTTTCTAAATGAGCAAACCTCACAATTTCTGGGGGCTCTTACACTGTGGCAGACACATATTTTGTTCTCCTAAGAGCTTTTAAGTTAAGTGTTATTACTTACCCCATTTTACAATAAAGGAGATCAAGTTGCAGAAACAATTAATTAAGCAGCCCCAGATCACAGCACAGTAGGTGGGAGAAGCAGAATTCAGACCAAAGCCATTTGAGATATAGAATTCTGTGCTTGACCCTTAAGCAATACTGCCTTTGTCACAGCTGAAAGTCATTTGCATTACTATTTATTTAATAATTTTCTTTCTTTTTGCTTGAACAAGAACAAGGAAATGCATAGAAGGACAGCAGGGGTGGTGGCTGGGGGTGAGAAGGATAGGCCCTTCCTTCTGTTCTCCCCTTTGAAGGGCAGCAGCCTAGATGGAGTGCTAGGCCAGAGATGGGGCTCAGGTCCCAAGGGAACCAGGAATCACAGCAACCAGGAAGACGGGATGCAGATGGAACCAGGCATTCTCCAGACAGTGGAGACATGGAGAGGGGGCAGTAGAGGAAGCCGGAGGGGGCGGAAATGGGCAGGAGGCATCTGGCATGAGAGGTTACCAGCAGTGAAAAGCTGGGGTCTCGGAGGGGAGAGGATTGGAGGCTGAGAAAGGAGCTGAGAGGAGAGGGAGCTGGTAGCTAAGATAAGCTCATTTAGGGAAGGAGGTGCCAGGAGGGAGTGAGGGATGGTGGAAGTGAGGATCCCCCAGGAGGCCCCGGGAGGGCTGTATTAAAGACGGTTGGGGTGGGTGGGAGTGCATGTTAGGGGCTGAAGGGTGAGGCCTGGGGGGAACAGAAGCCTCCAGGTACTGAGCAGCTGGAAAGAATTGGTGGTCAGGAGGTGTCAGTGGGGCTCCTGTCCCCACAGAACTGGCTAAGCAGCTTGCCCTTTCAAGACTGACTGAGTAGGAAATCGTCTTCCCTCCCACGTGGGAATTTGGGTGGGCCTTGAGTTACCAAAACGATAGTAAACAGGACCTTCTTTACAACTGCTCTGCTATGAGGGACTCCAGTTAGACGGACATAGAAGGTTTTCTCCTGTGCTTGTTTTAGACAATTCCTAATTCTTTCCAAACCTACAGCCCCAGGTGAGTGTTTAGCAAAGGGGTTTGATATTTACCATCTCCTGTGTCCCTAGCACCATGCTGGGTGCCAGGGGAGGAGGTGAACACAAGTCCAGGCTCCGACCTCAGAGAAAGGAAGTTCCCATTCTGATCAGGAAGATGAAGAAACCATCAGCCTATCACTGAATTATTGAGAAGCAACTAGCAGAGTAGGAAGATGGGTCTAGAACATGAGGCCATGGGGACCCAAGCTGGGCCCCGCTGGAAGAGGTCTGAGGCAGAAAAGTGGTGCACACTGCAGACAGGGACCCTGCAGCTAGAGGGGTGAGCCTTGTGGAGGGTGGGGGAGCAAGGAGCATGCCAGACATGAGGACGCTGGCCTGTCTGGGCCAGGCAGGAGGAAGTGGGGGATCCCATGCAGTTGGCAAATTAGGACAGAATGGCTGGAACTGAAGAGGAGTTCAAGGAGGGAGTCTGGAAAGTTTCATCTGAACAATCAGAGCCATCTTAGGACCTGTCAAGGGAGAGCCCAGGTGGCCTCGGAGGCTGTTGGTGGGTCGGCCTGCTCAGGATGGGTTGGAGAAGGCACGACTACATTGGCAGTCAGGCAGGATGGAGCTGTGGAAGCGTGGGCAGGACTCGGGCCTTAGGGGCCGCTGGCCTGTACATTCTAGCTCTGCAGTGTTGAGCAAGACACTCAGCTCCTCTGAACTTGCCTGTGCCTGTGTAGAGTGGAGATTCAATGTCTGCATTTTAGGATAAACTGTTACTATTTAAAGTATCTGTCCTGTGCCCAGAACTGTACTAAGTGGGATACACAAGTGTGTCCACACTCGTGGTTGCCATGAGTCCCAACAGCCACCGTGAAAAGAGGTATTATTATTTACTGCATGTAGCAGAAGAGAAAACTGAGTCTTAGAGACTTCAGGAAACTTCCTCAAGCTGGTAAGTCGTCAATCCAGGTCATCCAGATTTGTCGCACTCCCAACCCTTGCTCTTGAATTGAACTGAGGAGGCTTCGTGGGAAATGGGAAGAAGACTCATGTGCTGTAGGAGCTGGAGTGGGAAAGGTGGTATTAAGAGAGAATTCATGAGGGAGGAGAGAGAAAGTAAAGCTCATTGCCTTCCACGTCTGGCAGAATGGTCGGTGCCTCTGAAGGAAAGAACCGTTTTTGGCAGAAGCGTCAAGATGGCATCCGTAGACAACTGAAAGAGGCGCTGGAAAGCACAGGCAGGAAACTTAAGATAGGAACAGGGTCAAACAGTCCCCTCCCCTGGGAGGTCTGAGGCCTAACCCATTCAAGAGGTAATTTATGTTGAAATATTCACAGCTCCAGTCACTGAACCACGGATTGAGTGCACATTAGTCATCTTTCCTGGAGTAATGTAGCATTCCAAGGCCTAGTGACTTAGAAGATGAATGATGATGATTTCTACCTTTTAGCTGGGCAGTTCGGGCTCAGGTCTCTCAAGGGGTCAGCCACAGGTCAGTGAGCCCTCGATCATCTGAAGGCTTGACTGGGGCCGGAGGATCCGTGTCCAGGGTGGCTCATTCATATGGCCATCACTCATACACTGGCTGGCGATGGGGTTCTCTGTGCCTTTCCGAGTGGGCTCCCCACAGGGGTGCCATGGGTCCTGCCCTGGAACAGCCAATGAAGGGGGAAATTGCAATGCCTTTTATGACCTAGGCTCAGAAGACACACACTGTCACTTCTGAGGTGTCCTACCAGTCGCACACAGCCAGCCCTAAGGCAGTGTGCAAGGGGATGATATAAGGCACGGATGCCAGGGGGTGAGAATTCCTGGGACCCATCTTGGAAGCCAGCAACCGTAAGATGATTCGCTCATCGGCACCCATTATGAAGTAGCCACTGTATGTCTGGTGGGGGTTGACGAGATACCTGCTCCCAAGGAGCTGACATTCTTTGGAGAGGGGGTGAGGTACAGAGCATAACCAAGGACATTTTTAAAAAATTATAGACTGGGGGTGCCTGGGTGGCTCAGTTGTCAAGCATCTGCCTTTGGCTCAGGTCATGATCCCAGGGTCCTGAGATCAAGCCCCGCATTGGGCTCCCTGCTTTGCAGGGGCCTGCTTCTCCTTCTCCCACTCCCTCTGCTTTGTTCCTTCTCTAGCTGTGTCTCTCTCTGTCAAATAAATAAATAAAAATCTTTTTAAAAAATTATAGACTGTAGTAGGGCTGTAAGGGAAATGAGCAGGGTGTTAAGTGCGGCTAAGGGAAGTTACCTTAATAGTGCAGTCAGGGAAAAAAACCTCTATACGGTTTTAGCTGAGCCCTGGAAAATAGCAATGAGTCACATGAAGAGCATTTAAAGGAGCAGTAAGCGTGAAAGCTTGAAAGCAGGAAAGGCCTCAACGTGTTTGAGGAACAGAAAGGAGAGAGCAGAGCTGGCGTGTAGTCAGTGAGGGTATGCATAGGAAGACGCCCAGGTTCCAGTCCAAGCCCAAAGGGAAGATCTGAACGGGTTTCGAAGAGAGGAGGGCCCTGTCGTTTGTATTTTTAAAAGATCACTCTGGCTGCTGCTAAGACCCTGTTTGGAGATGAACAGGAGGCAGGGCAGGCAGACCAGTGAGGGAACCGTTTACTAGTTTAGAACAGAGATGATGGCAGCTTGGAGCAGCAGGGAAGACGAAAAAGAATGAATGGATTCCAGAGATATTTTGGAGGTGACATCAGTGGGGCTTGGTGATAGATCTGCTGTCGAGAGCACTTTGATTCATTCATCTGTGTTCTTTCAGTAAATAATTTGAGAGCCTACTTGGATGCCAGGCATTGTGCAAGGTTTTGGCAATACCACATCAAGCAAAAATAGACACAAAGTTTCTATGTTCAGGAAGCTTCAGTGGGGAAGGAGGAGAGAAATAAGCATACAATTTCACCTGCCATACATGCTAGGAAGCAGAGTTTATGTGATGGCGTAGGAGCACTTAAGAAGTCAGAAAGGGACAACAACACGTCTCTGAGGAAATGATGAGCTAGAAGTTCACCAGGCAAGGAGTCTGGGAAGAGCTTCCCAGCGAGTAGGGCTTGTGCAAAAGCCCTGTGGTAGGGGCGTGACATGTTTGAGGAACTAAAAAAAAAAGTACCAAAGAAATAGACGAAAGCACAGAAGTCAGGAAGGGTGGAGCTGGCTGAGGCTCGAACAAGGAGAGGGTTTACAGGTCATTTTCAGCTGTGACACCTCTAGGCTAAGATTAATGGGAAACCAGCAAAAAGTTTGGAAGGAGGACAGAGGTGACATGATTAAAAACACATTTTGAGAAGATTGCTCTAACTGTGGAGAAGGAAAAGGAGGCAGGCTGGGGAGTCGGGTGGGGCAGAGATCGAGTATGGTGAGTCAGGAGGCCATGGCAACGGTTAGGCTAAATGTTCTTAACCTCAGTGACATCACTTTTCGCAATCCCAATGCCCAGGACAGAACCAGACCGTTCAAACCTGGATCTCCCGCTGGGAGAGGGTGGCATCAATACCTTAAAATCTTGCCAGATTAATCCCACCATGCAGCCAAGTTTAGGAAGCAGTGGTTCTGCGGCTGATGATAGCTGGGAACAGTGGAGAATTGGATGGATTTGCCAGATACTTGGTTGGCCATTGTTTTGTAAACAACAGTCAGGCAGGCGAGACCCAGGAGAGAGGGGTCATAAATCTGAGCACTGAGAGCGAACACAGCAGGGGCTCAGTCAAGCATTTGTTTGAATCAAGAGGCTGACTCCTTGAAGGAGTCATTTGGGGTAAGGGCTCCTCACAGAGTAAGCTGGCTGGTAAGTTGTGTATCAGGATGGTGGGTTTTTTCCTCTTGACCATCTGACCAGTCCTTGTGATCAGATTTTAAAGGCAGGGCTTAGGACTGATTTGCATTTCATGGTCAGTTCTTATTTCTTTTTGGGAATTGGTGAGAAACAGATTAAATAGAGATCGTGATAGATCACAGTTATTACGCAAGTTCTTCTTCAGTAAAAAATTCCTCCTCAGGGCATGGGGGCTCATTCATTTCTTTAGGGAATATTTAGGCAACACAGACTATGGGCAAGACACAGTGTAAGAAATGAAGACTTTGTCCTTAGAGAACTTGAGCTTGGGAGGATTAGGATGGCCCCTCAGACAAAAATTGCCCTTGTATTCCTCACCCTGGCACCAAATACTTAAAAGAACTCATGCTGCAAAAATAAAATATATGTCCTCAATAACAGTGTGACCCTCAGATTCTCTGAACTTCCATTCTCTCATCTGCAAAAGGATAAAAATAGTATCTACCTAAGAGAACTGAGATATCCATGTGAAGACTTTAGCGTTCTGCATGTAACATTTATAACCCTTCAAAAAAAAGTTAGCCATTATATTATTACTGACCAAAGAATCGGCACGTGCCAAAAAACAAAAACAAAAACAAAAACAAAAACAAAAAACCCAAGGCAATGGAATTGTATCTTATATAGGGATTAAGTTCTAAAACCAAAGCCTAAAGTAATAATCACATAGAATCAAAGTTATCCTTGAAAATCTCTTAAATTGTTCAAAGTGAAAATATTAAATGATATTAAATTATTAAAGTAGCTGGAGTAAATGGTACTCAGCAAGTTGGGTAAATTTTCTCTGTAGTTCTCAATTAATTATTCATTTTGTTTTTCGATGATGACCTTCAAAGACGTCACCCCCACAATTCCACATGAACAATAATTTCACTTTATCAAATGGTAAGGAAATCCCAAAAATCATTTCACACGTCCTTTCCATAGTATTCCCCACCCCAAATTTGCATAGCATTTTTCAGGCTCGATAGCATCTACTGTCTGTGGGCATGGAGATTTAGAAGGAATCCCCCACAAAAGTCTGTTGAATTTACCTCGTTAAATGAATGGGTCATTCGGCTCCACAGCAACTCTGACCAAGGATCACTGAGGCTGGTGAATGGGATTCCTCACACTCCTAAGCCACTTAGATATATTTCCTGAAACACAGTGAAATCCTCCAGAAGGTCAGAGTTGCTATGTTAACCCCACCGTAAGCCTCTGGAAGTCACATGGTTACTTACTACGGACAGGTACACACTTTACTAAATTCGATTTAAAAAATCCTTCCAGGGGCGCCTGGGTGGCTCAGTGGGTTAAGCCGCTGCCTTCGGCTCAGGTCATGATCCCAGGTCCTGGGTTCGAGCCCCACATCGGGCTTTCTGCTCGGCGGGGAGCCTGCTTCCTCCTCTCTCTCTGCCTGCCTCTCTGCTTACTTGTGATTTCTCTCTGTCAAATAAATAAATAAAATCTTTAAAAAAAATAAAAAATAAAAAATAAAAAATCCTTCCAGGGATGGCATTTCTGGTCATACTCCAGGGTTCAATGAAATGTTATCTATTCTTAATATCACATGTTATCTATTCTTAATATCAAGAATGTTTGTGTCTTTCCATGCTATTGACATGCTGTGGCTGGTGGAAGAGAGCAGGGAAAAGATCAGGGACTTTGGGGCCAGATAATCCTGTGTTGTTGGGTCCCCTCACAATCCTGTGAACTTGGCCAAGTTCATTAATCTTTCTTAGATGGTGAAACTATGGGCGGGTCTGTGAGGATTACTGTGGATATTAACGTAAGTAAAACACCGAACACGGTGACAGCACTACACATAATATATTTGTGTTACGATGGTATCATTGAAACGCTCTGCTTTTTGGTTCATCAAGATGATTGACGTATTTAACCCCAGCCCTCCTTGAAAGCTCACCTTTGGACAGCAGAACTGTCTGTGACTGTAGATAAGAGGTTATAAAGTACAACGGAACTCCAGTGGGTATGACTTTAGGGATGGTCACATCTGAAGTTTGACACAAACATCATACAAAATGATCCGTTATTAATGTAGGGCTTAAAGGGTGTGGGGGTCTAAAATTAGGATGTCCAATGCCAATTTATATGGCTGATTTAATTTTATTTACATTTGGGCCTAATTCAACGGTCTGCCTATTGATCAGAGATTGAAACACAGAAATAATCTTTTTTTGAGTTTCAAGTGCTTTTCTCGCCCATCTTTTACATATTATATTCGTCTTAAATCCACCAAATTATTTTGTTATTGCACAGAATTGTTGTTGACCATATGTTAAAATTTAGGAGTGAATGGTCTTAAAATAAATCATTAATTTGTTTTAAATTTCAGATTGGGACCAGAAATTAGCCACAATTTCATCTAATCCTAGACCACTAAATTCACTGCCAGAGTTCTACTGTTGTGAAGACAGGCTGCTTTGAAAGGAAACCTTTTAAATTAACATAACAATGGCATTTGGACAAAACAACATTCGGAGTTCCTAGTTGACACCTTTAGATTAAAGTAATAACAGAACAACTTTTGACTTAAGTGTGTATCCAGATGGCTACAATCCTGAAATATTTACCTGTTGCAAATTCTTTTCAGAATTAGGTGATCAGCCTAGGGCAGGGAATCGAGAGTCAAGTTTAAGAGAACTTGCCATCTGTTCGCACATCAGCCCCGACACCAGTCTCATTGCTGGTGCTGACAAAGCATCTTACATATAATCCAGCAGTTATACGGGGGACCAGGTAAGAATATTATCTGTTCAATAACTGCATCACTGACTGTTGGAAAAATAAAAGTAAAAGAAGAACTTGGGGATGTAGCCAAGAAGGAAAACTGCCAACACCACAGACCCCAAAGTTGCTGTGGATGTAGTGACCTATGAGACTGGTAAAAAACAGAAGAATTAATTAAAATTCTTAATTAAAAACAAAAGAATTAAAGTCTATACACAGAGAGTGAATACGCCTATCTGAACAATTGGGCATCAATTCCTCAGGCAAAAAACTAGAGGTTCTTTTCTAAAGAAATGAAGGATCCTGAAGAAAAGAATCCTACATTCTGGCCCCTAGTAACCCCCAACATACAAGTTGGTTCCCCACTCAACACCCCAAAATGAAGCCTACCAGTTGATAAACTTCCCCCAGGAACACAATTTCTGGTTGTGTTCCATTGCCATGGTCTCAGATGTGAAGAGCTAACCATCACCTGAGAATTGGAAAAACAACGTAACATGAAAGACAAAGACCAAAATAAAGAGAAGAAATGATGCCGGAGGAAACAATTCAGGGAACACCAAGGAGCCTAAACAAAGCTAACAGAGTAACATTGTCATCTGACAAAGGATGCCTCAAAATAATGACATCCACTAACATGGACAATCTTTCCAAAGCTCTTGGAAATGAAAAATATGATTGCTAAAATTAAAAATCTGACAGCACTGGAAGAAAAATCTGAATAACTCTTTATGGAATAGAAAGGCAAAGAAGATTTTTGTTGTAAGAGACACAGAAGGGCACCTGGGTGGCTCAGTCTGTTAAGTGTCTGACTCTTGGTTTCCGCTCAGATCATGAGATCAAGCTCCACATCAGGGTCCACACCCAGAGGGAAGTCTGCTTGAGATTCTGACCCCCTTCTCCCTCCCCCCTGCTGCTCCCCCCCTACTCAAGTGCTCTCTCTCTCTTGCTCTCTCTCTCACACAATAAATAATCTTTTTTAAAATAAAAATAAAAAAAAAATAAGAGACCTAGAACAATAAATTAGGGGGTCCATCATCTGACTAATAAGCATCCTAGAGACAAAACAGAAAAAATAAGAGAAAATCATCAAGGGACCAGAAACTTCTCATATGCAGGGGTTTATGCTGTGGCCTCACACATGAAAACACAGAAAATTAAAATAACCAACTTTCAGTTTCACTGATTTTCTCTGTTGTTTTCTAGTCTCTATTTTGTTTCTCTTCACTCTCATCTTTACTATTTCCTTCTTTTTACTGGTTTTGGGTTTATGTTGCTTTCTTTTCTTGGCACCTTAAGGTGTAAAGTTAGGTTGTTAATGTGAGACCTTTAACTGTTTTCAGTTTCCTGAACTGAACTGCCCATGCTTGCAACATCCCATGGTTTTACTGTGTTGTGCCTTCGTTGTCATTCATCTTTTAAGTATTTCCTGATGCCCCTTGTGATTTCTTCCTTGACTCACTGGTTAAAAGTGTGTTTTTACATTTCCATTGTTGGGTGCCTGGGTGGCTCAGTGGATTAAAGCCTCTGCCTTCGGCTCAGGTCATGATCCCGGGGTCCTGTAATTGGACCCCGCATCGGGCTCTCTGCTCAGCGGGGAGCCTGCTTCCACCTCTCTCTCTCTGCCTGCCTCTCTGCCTACTTGTGATTTCTGCCTGTCAAATAAATAAAAGCTTAAAAAAAAAAAGAATACAGTGTGGTGATTTAGTAAATTTAAACAACTGTGCGACCATCACCATAATCCAATTTTAGAACATTTCCATCACCCCATAAAAATTCTTTGTGCCAGGGGTGCCTGGGTTGCTCAGTCAGTTGTGTCTGAATTCAGCTCAGGTCATGATTTCAGAGTCCTGGGACCCAGCCCTCCATTGGGCTCCCTGCTCAGTGGAGAGTCTGCTTGTTCTTCTGCCCCTCCCCCAGCTTGTGATCTTGCTTTCTCTCTCTCTCTCTGTCTCAAATAAAATCTTAAAAAACTCTTTGTGCCCATTTGCAGTCGCTCCCCATTCCCGCCCCCAACCTCACAAATCTACTCTCTGTCTCAATTAAATTGCCTTTCCTGGACATTTCATGTAAGTGAAATCATGGGATATGCAGTCTTCTGTATCTGCCTGTTTTCACTTAAATGTAATGTTATGAAGTCATACCAGGGACTTCATCCCTTTTTTTGCCCATTATATAGATATACTCCCTTTTCTTCATTCATTTGTGCAGCATTTGTAAGTCTATGTGGACATATCTTTTCATTTCTCTTGGCTAGACACCTAGGAGTGGAGTTTCTAGATCATATTTTACATTTATAATTACTTTTTAGAAGAACCTTCTAAAATGCACCAGTTTACACTCCTACCAGCAATGTATAAAGGGTTCCTATTTCTCCATATCCTCATCAATACATGTAAGTGTGTCTTTTTGATTGTAGCCATTCTAATTGTTGTGAAGGGATGTGTTGTTTTAGTTTGCATTTTCCTAATGTGATTAATGATGTTGCTACTTCTTTTCTTGGTCATTTGTATATCTTTGGTGAAGTGTCTATTCAAATATTTTGACCATTTTTGAATTAGGTTATTTTCTTTTTAATTATACCAGATCATTACATATCATTATATATCCTGGATACAAGTTCTTTATAGATACATAGTTTGCAAATATTTTCTCCTTATCTGTGGCTTGCCATTTCATTTTCGTAGAGGTATCTTTTGAAATATGAAAGTTCTAAATTTTGATCAAGTCCAATTTATTGAGTTTTTCACTTATAGATTGCATTTTCACTATCATCTTCAAGAAGTCTTCTGACTAACCCAAGGTCATGTATGCTGTCTACAGGTCACTCACTCTATTTATTTATTTATTTAGGTTACTCACTTTAGATAAAAAAATTCAAGTAGGTTGAAAATGAAAGAATGGAAAAAGATATTCTAATATCATACAAAATAGACTAAGGCAAAAACTGTCACAACAAAGGACTTATGTATTGATAAAGGAGTCATCAAGAGATATTAATAATTATAAATACATATTCACCAAACAACAGGGGCCCCAAATATATGAAGCAAACATTGATGGATTTGAGGGGAGAAATATTTCTGCAATAATAATAGTCTTCTGCTATCATTTTTTAATGTACTTTCCAATTACATGAAATGCCATTTTAAGCCTCTATTATCAAGCTCCCATGTATGTTGCAGCTACCTCTGAAATGCCCAGTCCATTCCCCTTGTGTATTCATTCATTCCCATGACAACATCACTTACTCTGACTATAGGAGCTAACAGTGTTTTAACACCTGGTGGGGAACAACCTCTTGACACATAACTTTTTTCAAAAATTCTCTTAGGAATTCTTGCACATTCATTTTTCCACCAAAGTTTCAATATAATTTTGTCCAGTTAGACAATCCCCTGGCAATTCGGACTGGAATGGCATTCAACTCACATACTCAATTGTGAAGGACATTCAGCTCTATCAATCCATTAATATATAAAAAATAAATATATTAAAAAGGGCATCTCCCCACTGAAATACCTTTTTCTGCCATTTAGTTCCCTTCTACTGCACTTTAAAATTCGTTTCAGTTTTTCTGTGTCCCTGTTATGCCCCCATAATCATATCTATTACATTTTGGCCTTGACCTTTTTTCAGGGGAAACATATTTTGGTTATTTGGCAGAGTCCTCCTCCAACTTTTTGCCAACTTTACCTGCCTCATCAGCCCCTCATTCATTTTTTTTAGTTGCTCCAACTTTCCAAAATGTTTTCAGCCTCTGGGTCTTTGCCCTTGTTCCTCTGACTACTCACCCTCTTGATCTGTTTGAATCCTGTTTCTGCTAACCGCCATTTCTAACTCTTTCTGAACTGAGGTTAAGTTCTCCTTCCTAACACCCTGCACTTTCCCATTATGGCGCAGATCACTTACAAATACATTTGTCTGGCTGCTGCCTTACAATACACCACCGCACCCCCAACACCTAGCAGATTCTAGCAAATACTCTTGTTCAGTAGAGATTACTGTAATACAGTTACCTAGGATTTCAAAGACAACTGTATCTGAAGAGCAGAACCTCTCTCTTAACCAACTTACAGCTCACTTCTAAAGACTGAGAGGCGAGAATCACTCAACCTGGTCAAAATTGAGTAAATGTCTATCAATATCAATAGATTTGCACTTTTTTGATTTAAAAAAAAAAAGCAGTGACTTGGAGAATCAATGCTTTTTTTCTTCATTTGTTTTTTCTGGTAATCTCTATACCCAACGTGGGGCTCAAACACGACCTGGGACCAAGAGTCGCATGCTCTTCCAACTGAGACATCCAGGTGAAGTCTCAGTTAAGAAGGGTTTTTTGGTTTTTGTTTTTTTCTTTTTTAAGTTTGTTTATTTGTTTAGTAATCTCTTTGGAGAACGAGTTCTTCACATCTGCCTCTGGACCATTACTAAAATGGTTTCAGTAACACAACACTATCAGCCAAGATGAGAATGTGGACTTAAAAACCCCATTTCAACTCAACCTGATCTGTAGTTCAAGTAGGAAGATAAAGGGTAAGGAGAAATAAAAGCCCATTCAACTTCCATTAGCATAAATAAAAATTATTTATTGTAATATTAAATACGAATTTTACACAAAAGTCATTATTGATTGGCAATGGGCTTATAAGATCATCTGTACTATCCTTTTTGTTTATTGAATCCAGCAAGGCTGGCTCTATTTCAGAATTTCCTGAAGTATTAATAAAAATATGTCTAGTGAAGACAAAAGGTATTTACATTCTTTTCTAAGTCTGTTTTGATGTCTCCCCACCCCATCCCTACATACTACAGGAATAAAGCTCCTCTTTTATATACTAGTATTACCAGTACTTCTTTTACTAGAACAAAAACACAATACACAAACCATACTAGAAATATTTGGTTCTTTTTAATCAGCTATTGATGGTATAATAAAATAAATTTAAGTGGCACCTAATTTAAACATTTAAAATAGTTCACTGAAGGATAATCTACAACACAGTAGGTTAAGCCTAACTGTCAAAACAACACCTCTTTTTTTCCAAGAAAGAAAAAATAAAGGCATGATCAAAATTATGACTGACAATTTGGGTTCATGTGGACACTTATAGATAATTCTGTAGGCATACTGGCAGGCACAATGTTGAAAATCAATCCATTAGATTTAGAAATAATGGTAAGATAAAAAAAAAAAACAGCTATACATTTCAGAGTTAATGCCTGAAATTAAAGAAAAATATCCACCAATTATCACAACGATCTTTTAATGACTAATATTTTTAAACATTAAGATTGTTGTTTTAGGGAACATCTTTCTCTGGACATTTAATTAAATGCCCAAACGTATTAAATAATTTACAGTGAAGTAAGTTTTGTGTTCTGTACAAATTAAAGGATACATGAATATAATCCCCTCCCCCTCCCTCGCCAAAGCTCAAATTTGCAATGGTCTCAGCAGAAAATAAACAGTTCACAAGTTAAACAGAATTTATAGCATTACAAAAGTTTACAGAATCCTCTTTTCATCATTTTTTTCCTAACAGCAAAGATCACACTGACAAATTGAATGACCAGAATGTAAAAAATATTTGTGCAAAACTGCATTAATTGTTCTTCCCGTTTAGTAGAGATAAAACCTAAGAACACACAATGACAAGAGTGAAGAAAAACTACACTGAAAGGAATTCTACTTTAGATTTCAAACAACACAGATCATACTATGACTAAACACTGAAAGAAAACGTGGCACCGTGAGCAGCAGGAGCAACACATGACTCAGCGATTCTGCCAGCGGAGGCGGCTGACACTGGAACACGCCAGAAGTTTCTCTCCACATCAACCAGCCATCTTCAGGGACTGGAAACAACTCTAGGGTTTAAAACTCACTTTGATGTCTTTCTTCTTGAAATTTGCAGATCATAAATGAAATATTTAATAAAGTCCTTTCCCTCCCTCCTGAAGGAGTGTTTCTTGCATCACTGGAAATCCTTAAAAGAGCTGAATCATAGACTCTCTGGATTTACCTACCCCGATCCATTTCACTGGTAAGAGAAGAAAGTACAAGAATAGTATCAATTCATTTATAATGTTCAATCCTTGGGATGAAAAGATCCCCACTCTTCTCCGGGTCACTATTTAACTTTCCAGGTGACTTTTGCTATCCTTTGCTGTCCTGCTAGAAGACCAGGCTGATTTCTAAACGGAACACACCAGTGCAGGTGTGTGCCTTACCAGTTCCAGTTTTAATCACGTGGTATTTCCAAGTCTTCAATGCCTAATACTTAGGTTAGGTTAGCAAAATACTGGCCCAAACCACCAGAGACTTAAAGAACCCTGGGTTAAGTCCCCAATTACTAGATAAGATCTAAGCATCTTTGATAAAAGCAGGATGCTAAGAGATGACAGTGTAACTTTTGCATCTCAAAGAAGTAGAAACATCTGGAAGAGAATACTATTTTAACTTGCACAGACTGAACCAGTCTATAGGAATCTCTAAATATTATACCACATGGGTTAAACTTCACAGAATTTTATACAGGACATTGTTAAATTCACTCTTGCTTGTATTTCAAAAAAATGTTGACTAAGAGCCATAGCAAACATGCTAAGTTGGACATCACGCTGGCTGGGGCAGCTAGCAATCTGGAAAACAAGACTAGTATTTGAGACAAACCACAACACAAATCAGAATCAGTGCACAATAGATTCTACATAAAGGACACCTTCTACCCACTTTGCTTTTGTCTTTCCAATCTCTACCAGTACAAGTAGAAGAAGAAGGCAATGTGTTAAAAACTTCCATTAACTAGTCACAGCTATAACCTGGTTATGCCTAACTAACTCCCTGGACAACTCCCTGGCCAGCTTGTTTTTTAATAAAGTTTTATTCTTTCCTCTCCTCTTATATTTTTTCAAACTGGATTTCCTATTTTCTGTACCAGTAATTTCCTAATTATTCAAGCAAGCCCCCAACTCCCAAGGGTAGTTTAATCGCAAATGGAAAAACCACAAACCATTTTTGGTGGAGGTGAAGATACAAAAGGCTTTGTGACTAAGAGGGAGAAAGCAACAAGCATGAATGTCACGGGGTAAAAACCAGAGTAGTAGAGAATTAAGACAAAGTCAAAACAGTGTGAGGTAACCTACTGTCTTCAGGCATACAAAGGATTAAAGAAAGATGACTATATTTACTCTAAGAAATAAGATTATTTTATATTTTCCAGGGCACTGATGCAAATCACGAACACTCTACAAAATAATACTGATCTTTCTTTTATTGTATCTCAAAGGTAGACCGTTAAGTTAGAAACAGAAGAAAGACCGTTGTTCATAAAGTACACTTACCTGGAATTTGAAGCTCATCTTCAATAAATCGAACGTAATTTTGTGCATTAACAGGCAGTTCTTTAAATGTCCTTGCATTTGATATGTCTGTGCTCCAACCTGGCAGTGTCTTATACTGAACTTCAACTTTATTTAAGACTTCTTGGTTTGCTGAAAGTTAAAGAGTAAATCTGTTTTTCCATGGTGGAATGCTGCCTGTTGCCAAACAGCTTTTTGCTATGTCAAAGGTTCATGATCTCTTACGAAAATCCTTGGAGCCAGAGGAGTTCTGGAATGCAGTTTCCCAGAGTGCAGGAAGGTCAGACAGGACACTGACCACCTGAGGCAATGTTTTCATGACCCAACACAGTCCTGCAGCGGCAGGCTAATTCACTCGAAGCAGAGAGATTATCAGTTCTAATAGCAATTCAAGTTTTGCTGTCAAAGGACTTTGGTGCCAAACTTTAACCTTTCCATTTTTAGAGCTTTTTAGATACCCCACTGTGGATTAGAGATTATGGACCTGCATACAGGTGGCAACCTCACAGAAAGGAGACTTGCAAACGTGCTCTCATCTGGGAGATCTACTGATTTTGTGATTGTACAAAGCTGACCTGGAAATTTTCTTTATTATCTCACCTAACCATTTTCTCTGTATCTCCTAACAGGAACGGAAAATGTACGAAAAGTAAGAACAGTTTAACTAGAGCTGTCACAGCGGATGCTGTGGGGATTCTGTCCAAGCTTCCCACGTCGGGACTGAGACACTCATTCCCCCGCCCGTGGAAGCACTGCCCACGGAGGACTCGTGCTCAGAAACTGCCCCCCCGCTGAAGGGAGCTGCCTCCTTGGAACAGCCCAAATCCCACGACTGATCAATGTGGACAACAGGCAGCACAAAACCACAGGTTCTGAGAAAAAGAAAACTCCCAAGCAAGTCCTGAAACTACACAATTCTCTGCCCAGGGACAATTTCCCGGCCACTGGAAGCCACGACACCAGAGTCAGTGGAGAACAGTGGCCCCTCTGAGCTGAGAAGGCGGATAATCAGGTTTCAGGGAAGCTGAAGTGGCGAGAGGCATCACGGTCAAGTGTCAGAGGAGGGGCCTATACAGGGAGCTCCCACCCCTCCGAAGTCCATGTGAGAGTCCCAAAGCTAACGTTCAACTTCACACAGGAGGGACCCATGGGATCACCGGAAGGCTTACCAGATGTTAGCTGTCACACAGTTGAGGGGACAGGTTCTAGAGGACAAGCAGTGCTAAGAGAAGGGAAGGGACAGGATACACTGGAGCTCCAGCACTGCCCGACTAGAGTGATCTCTTTACACCTTGGTAACTCTCCTGGCGTCCAGCTGGGAGAGCAGAAAGGCTGCTCCTTAAAATTTAAAAAAACATGTTCACGAGTATAACTGACTACAGACCCTCCATAACAAAGCCTAAAACCAAGCTACCGAGATCCACAGAGGAGACAGAATTTGGAGATTGACCCATACCAGGTTAAAGGTTTGGGAAACACCCGGGGCTCTTCATGTAACTATACTAACAGAGCAGAAAACTGAGCTTATGCAAGTTCAAGATGATCAGCCAGTAATTCAACTGTCCCCCGAAACAAGAACCAACACTCTTTAGAGGAGGATAACAGAATCTGAGTCACTACAACATTAAGCGCATTCAACCAGAAGTCATTGGTCATAGAAACAGTGATCCACAATCAAGGAAAAGAACAGTCAAGAGAAACCAGACTGGAGATGGCCCAGATGTCAGACTAACAGGTAATGATTTTAAATGTGTTTCTAAGAACTTGAGGTAATCCTTGGTTGCCAAGGACTGGTCATCACCATCAAGTCACAAAACCTGTACCAGCCTACCAAGTTTCATTCAAGTGCATATTCCTTTGTTTGGCATATTCCCAGGCTTATAGGGTGACTAAACAAATGAACAGTTCCTATTTCTGGAAGCTAGAAACATTTATGGAACTTCCTGAATAACTGAAAAAATCTTATAACTAAAGATATGCCTGAAGAAACACAGTGCCTCATGTAGGAAGTCTTCCTACAACCACCCACTTTTAACATAGGAGATGAGAAAATCATTCCTGTGGCTTCGACAACAGGGTGGGTAAATGTATTAGGAGCCTGCTTACTCTTTTGAGTAGCACTCTTTTCTCTTACCCCACGTTCCTCCAGGAAGAGAAGCATGCCTACATAGAAGTTACTTTCAAAGTAGGGAAGATGAGATTCGGGAATAGCACAGCTGGCTGAGCTCAGAGGGACCATGTTTCTCTTTCCTATTTTGAGTCTGAACACATGCTTACTACTGCAATCCAGGATTCAAATGCACAGCAGCTATGAAACAAATGCCAATAACATGTGAATATACTTGTGCTATCCACAAAGAGGGTATCAACCCCGTGGCTCTATACCACAAACTACACAGAACTTCATGAAATGGCTCTAACATGTTCACCTAATAATATTCTTTATATCACAGATGGAAAAAAGTACCTGGGAAATGAGGTATGATTTCACCATCTAACTTGTAAGCAACTCCAACTTTAATTTCCGTAAACATGTCCAAAATATCCAATTTGGTAAGTGCCAACCTAAGTGGAAGGAAAGGCAATGTTCAAACAGCAAATCTCTTCAAAATACATCAAATCTCCCAATAAACTGGCTGGGAAATAGTTTTAAAGGAAAAATCTGTACAATTAGAGAAAACAGTAGGTTTGGCATTCTTATCCACAAATTATTTTTTTATCCTTTATTTGTTATTTGCTGGAAGTTAAGTCAAATTAATACAAACAAGAATACATTTGTTGGGGCGCCTGGGTGGCTCAGTGGGTTAAAGCCTCTGCCTTCGGCTCAGGTCATGATTCCAGGGTCCTGGGATCGAGCCCCGCATCGGGCTCTCTGCTCAGCGGAGAGCCTGCTTCCTCCTCTCTCTCTGCCTGCCTCTCTGCCTACTTGTGATCTCTGTCTGTCAAATAAATAAATAAAATCTTTAAAAAAAAAAAAAAAGAATACATTTGTTTACATATTTATGTACATGTGTGAACAGCAACTTTTCACCGAGTGATTTGAGGGACCCAGGCAGGGCGCTATATGCTCTCACTGTATTTCTCACCTAATTTTCAAAACACCCACACGAAGTAGGTAATGTTATTATCTAGATTTTGTTTATTTATTTTTAAGATTTTATTTATTCATTTGACAGAGAGAGATCACAAGTAGAGTGGCAGACAGAGAGGAGGAAGCAGGCTCCCTGCCGAGCAGAGAGCCCGATGCGGGGCGCGATCTCAAGACCGTGGGATCATGACCAGAGCCGAAGGCAGAGGCTTTAACCCACTGAGCCACCCAGGCGCCCCAATTATTATCTAGATTTTAAAGATGATGGAAAAGGCACAGAAAGATTCACTTAACCAAAGTCATGGCACAACGCGTGAATCTGAGATTTGAGTTAGACATTAATCATGCCCTAAATGGGTTATACTGCCTCCCCTCCATATAAGCAAAACGCACCATCTACCTATCTCACTTCCCTCTATACTGACATGCACGGGGGAGTAACAGGATTCCTTTTTCCCAACTGTGGATGTGTAGGAAGACAACCTGGGGCCTTTTCCCGTGGGTCCCCTTCCCTTAGATCTTGGTCCACTTGAACCCTGAGCTACGATTTCATCTGGAGTCTAAACAGTGAACTTTTTCTACCAGGGTACTACTTTTCAAGCTTGCACTCCACAAAATGTAACCTGTGGTCATGAACTATAACTTAGTTCCCTGAAAGAAATGTTTCTAAGAATACTTACGCAGTAAATCCATTAATCATATGAGCATATTTGAGCAAAACCAGGTCCAGCCAGCCACACCTTCTTTTCCTACCAGTGGTTACCCCAAACTCTCGACCTCTTGTTTGTAATAATTCTCCAATTTCCTAGAAAACAGAAAATAGGACTTTAGGATTATAACATCAATGCTGTAAATCTAGCAGAATTACGCATAAGATCACATAACAAGTCAAAATCTTATAGAGATGAACATCTTCCAAAAAATTGCTCAGTGGAAGACAGAATTCCATACCGATGATGTGTGAAGTAGGCATTATTTCGAACAGATCCACTTTTGGCTTCAATTTTTACCATTTCTGTAAAACCAGTATTTTTTACAATGTTAGATAACTTCTTAAAATTTAGATTAACATATAAAATGCTGCATATTAGAAACAAGGTTGTTAAGTAAGTATTTATTAAATTTATTAAAATAGACAAGCCAATTGTTCCAAGAACTGCAGTTCATTCCTCCTGAAAATCATAAGACAAACTCTCAGCTAGTCAGTAGTTCTGGACAGCACAATACCCTTTCAAAAAGAATGAAGGCTGATGGCAATGCTCAAGATCTAAGCCACAGGGGTGGCTGGGTGACTCAGTCAGTTCAGTGTTTGCTTTCGGCTCAGGTCATGATCTCAGGATCCTGGAATTAAGTCCTACATCGGGCTCTCTGCACAGCAGGGAGTCTGTTTCTCCCTCTGACTTCTGCTCCCCCTGCTGGTGCTGTCTCTCTCTGACAAAAAAATAAAATTCTTAAAAAAAAATAAAAATAAACTTAAAAAAAAAAAAAAAAAAAGATCTAAGCCACAGCCATTCCTTACAACCCAATTTTTCACTTATCATCTATCTATTCCCTCATTTACACCTTTCTGATTTCTTGTATTCTGACATCAATCTGTCAGATCTGAATCCCAGCCGCGTCCCTGTGTGTGACTTTGCACAAGTGATTTCAGCTCTCCGTGCCTGTTTCCTCTTGTGTAGAAGGGGGACAGTGACACCACCCAGCTCGCCGAGGGTCGTGAGGTCCAAAGAGCTTCTGAGGATACAATACTTGGACAGTGCCTGGCCCGATGTCACCACTGCAGAGGTGTTGGCTAGGATTAGAGCAAGTCTTGAAGTCACTCTTCTCAGCCCCAGCTCCTAACAAGCTCTTGGTGAAAGGCAGTTCTTATTTATTTATTTATTTATTTATTTTAGATTTTATTTATTTATTTGAGAGAGAAAGAGGGAGAGATCACAAGGAGGCAAAGAGGCAGGCAGAGAGAGAGAGGGGGAAGCAGGCTCCCTGCTGAGCAGAGAGCCTGACTCGGGGCTCAATCCCAGGACCCTGAGATCATGACCTGAGCCAAAGGCAAAGGCTTAACCCATTTAACCCAGGTGCCCCCAGTTCTTATTTTTAACCATTTCTTTCCCCTTCACTATCTCAACCTCCCTCATAAACCCACCTTCATGCAGCCTGGCGCTTACAGTTACCTTTAAGTACTCTCTACCCCTTTGTCTTTTGTTGCCAATCTGCTGCCACTTCAGTAGAAGGCACAGGAAGATAAGAAATAAGAGGGAAAAAAGTAGTTTTTATTTTATATTTTAAAGCTTTGTTTATTTGACAGAGAGAGGGAGAAAGAGCACAAGCAGGGGGAACCGCAGAGGGAGAGGGAAAAGCAGGCTCCCCGCAGAGCAAAGAGCCCAACCTGGGGCTGATTCCCAGGACCCTGGGATCATGACCTCAGCTGAAGGCAGACACTTAACCAACTGAGCCACCCTGTAAGATTTTTATTTATGTTTGTTTGAGAAGAGAAGAGAACAAGCGAGAAACAAGGGATCTAAAGCAGATTCCACTCTGAGCACGGAGCCCATGCAGGGCTTGATCCCACAACCACAACATCACAATCTGAGCCAAAACCAAGAGTCGGACACTAAACCAACCAAGCCACCCAGGAGACACAGAAGTTTTTATTTTAAAACTTTCAGAACTGGATCTAGTGAAAAACAGACTTACATTGTCCTGCTCTGTTGGGAAGGCACCAATGCCAACTCGAGTTGTGTAAGCTTTCACGACCCCGTACACTTCCCCAACATTTTGGGGGGGCATTCCCAACCCGGTACAGACACCTCCAACCGTACAGTTCGAAGAGGTCACAAAAGGGTAAGTTCCTAAAGAAGCAACAAATATTATACACACACAGATATACATTACTCTGAAACAATTACTGTAAAAAAATATGCATCTGAGTACATTCTAGGTACTGGACAGACTTGACTATAACCGCCCTCTCAAACCTCAGCCTTTAGTCTTGAGCCCTTCTGTCCAGAATGAGAGCAAACCACAGTGGTCAGAGCTATCCCCGCGGTGCTCATTCCGGGGAGGCTCTTCGAGCGCGTGCAGTCAGTCAGCTCTGTATGGCAGGTACTCACCTAATGGATTGCTGAATAATTTCATGCCGAACCCCGGGCGTTATTCTACTATGCAGACTTTTTTAATCTACGTGTTTTTAACATGTTCCTATTGTTTTAAAAATGAATTTATTGTTTTCTTGATACAGATTTTTAAGATACAGCCACAATCTAGAGTGACAGCAGTATACTAAGAATTCGGTGGTATTCATTATCCTAGCTTCTCATCTCTATTAAGGGAATAATCCCAAAAATGACAACAGAAGCTAAGAGGAGTGTACTCCTTCATCCCTAAAGATCCTGTTCCTACTTGAACTATCCACATCTAACCAGACACTCTGCTTTCTTTCCATATTCCACAGGCATATTATGGAGTCCAAAAATACATATCTACTGTAATAGAAATAATACTTTTTCTTTAATTGGTTTACTTGAGAGTCAAAAGCCAATGAAATGTCACTAAGAGCTGAGAACACTGACTTATCCTTTGAGATCATGTTCAGAGAGAAAGGCCAACAACCTAATGGGGCAGTAGCTGGAAGACATTAAAGCCTTAACTTTTTGAAGGTGGAAGAAATGCCCTAATCCACTCAGAATCTTAGGCCCAGGGAGTTGAGCAGATTTCCACAGATCTTAGGATATGCATGTTTAATGACAATGTTTATTAGTTCTCAATATTTAAAAAAAGGCTGAATTAAAGATCGTTCCACAGGACTCCTCTAATAATCTTAGTTTCAAGCAAACAGCATGAACCAAACATTGAAATCAGTTTACAGAATCCTAAACCCACTGACCCAAATAGTGATTTCATTTTTCTAATAAACTATAAAATGTAATATATGCATTGTGTATTCTACAACAGTGCTTAAAAAAAAAGATTAGTAGGTGACAAATGTCCATCATTCCTAAATATACAAGCTAAAAGCCTTGTTTTAAAATCCGTAAAGGGAAACATTAATTATTTATACCCTAAGTACTTTAGGGCTGGGTTAAGCTCCGGCAAGTCATAGCTCCCTTACCAAAATCAATATCTAAGAGAGCTGCATTTGCGCCTTCTACCAAGATTTTCTTTGGTGGTCCATGCAGGGCCTCGTAGAGGAAATAAACTCCATCTCTCACCATTGGTTTAATCCTTTCCATATAACCCTAGAGATGGAGACAAAAACCAATTTCAGTGTGTGCTAATAGGTTCCCAACATGATCGGTGCAAGTAAAACTCGCCGAGTAAAACCCTGTGGCAAAGCAAACTTAACTCATGCAAAGCAGAAGGGGCTGGTGATGGCGCCCACCCTACGGTATATTTGGATTAGCTCTGGTCTCTCATCTTGATTCTCCAGAACCAGAAAAGAGACTCCAGCTCAAAATCAGTGGAGAAACAATGAAATTTAAAGGTTCTACGTTAACCACTGCAAGTAATGATGACGGCCTTCCATCCTTCAAGAACCAGCTCTCGGGAAAATAAAAAGAGCTGAGTATACTACATTGTGCTTTTATATTCTGGGAGGCATTTAAAAAACTGCATTTATAATCCATGTAACCAAGAGCTTTGAAACACGCATCCAGGGACTGCCAAAATGTTGGCGTGGTTCATAAGTGACGCGGCCGAGCATGCAAACAGCGGTAACCACTAATAGTCTTTTGCCACAGTATTCCGTCCGTTACAGCAGCATCTCAGCAGCATTACTAGCAGATAATAGCAAAAACTATTTTACACATGAGCATTCTAAAACTCTCACAAAACATATTAAAAGTATTAATAATACTGCTTAATTTTTGAATTCAATTAAAAATGTAATATAAACAAGAGTTCCCCCAAGGCCTAAAGTATAACTACAATAAAATCTAGTTTAAACCATGTTTCCTATTCAGCCAGTCTAATATGGAAATTCCACCATCCACTCATGAACTCACTGAACATGTTATATCCATAACACCCCCGCCCCCTCAGCTCTAGCCTCTTGCTTATTATTCCTGGTTTAGACCTTTCGTTATGCCGAAAATGACCATGGCATTCACCATTTCCCTTATTCCTTAAAGTGCTGATTGGATATCTACCACCTATTAAGAATCTTCTTCTCCAACTCTCTTCACAATTATTCATCTGCTTTACATTCACATGAAACATGGATAAAACAGAACCAAAAAGCCATATCCACACTTTAGTGCATAAATATTTCCAAGTTGCTGGTAATAAATTTGAAATATTTGTTGCATGACAGAATGAAAAGAAGATGGCAGTCTATTCTAAGCAACGAGCAATACACTGAAATCTAAATACCCAACATTCAGACTCTTCCTTGGAGGTTCCCCCCGCCCGCCACCCCTGCTTAAGGAATTTAGTGAGTAGATATGCTTAAGGTCTACAACCATTCTAGAATGGCATATGAGGTTTGTAAATTCCTATTCAGCTCTAGAATTCACATTCATACCTATTTATAGAAGAGAAGAAGTAATAATCAGATACATAGGGCCCAGCTCAAAACACACCAAACATCAGGGACGAATGTGAGGTGGAAAGGGTAGGAGATTTGCTACTGACGAACTCAGGCACCACTGACTCCTAAAAACAGCCACACGTGGACCCAACCTTTGGCCAGTCACCTAGTTTGTCTTTTAAGACAAAGAGCTACAGACACTGGCCCCGTGGGGCATCCTTCCAGCTCTGCCCAGCTAGCTTTACAAGTTATCTCCTGCTGCCTGCCCCTCTGTTGATCTATGCTCCACAATGCTAGAAGGGATTTTTATTTAATACAGATCTAGTCTTTTTCCTGCTCAGAATTACTCAATAGCCTTTCATTAATTCCAGGATACAAAGCCAAACTCCCTATCACTGCGTATATAAGACCAATACAAGACCCGTGAACTCCTACTCTCTGCTCCCTACTCAATCTTTTCTTTCAGTCACATCATGTGAAGTGACTCAAACATGTCCTGTCCTTTTAGGTAGGCCTATATGCTTTTAGACTTAAAAAGGACAAGTAATTTGCTTTACTAGTTCTTATCTTCAATGCTTTACACATATCTGTGTGGCATTTATTATACTATAAATTATTTAACATATAACTTCTCACAGTGTAATTTCCATAAAGGAAATTAACACTCTATGTTCTTAATTCTTATGTTTGCAGGTCCTAATGCAAAACCTGAATGAATGAAAGGTCTTAGATGCCAATCTGGCAAACAAGTTTTAAAAAGGACATGAAAGCACTACCTTGAGTTTTTGTAATTCGCCTTCAATGTCGATTTCCAGAGTGGGGTATATAGATTTGTACTGGTTAGCCAGAACTTTGAACCTGAGAAACACAGATAAATCAAGACATTAGTTCAACTAATAATAGTCCAAATAATATCATTCAATTCAAATGGTTTCTGTAGATAAGTGGTTTTAATAACAAATGAATCCCAAACTGAAGCTACATTCTAAGAAACAAAATCTAAACAGATCAATCATATGAATAATGATACACTCAAAAATAGTATTTTTAATTCAAATTTAGGAATACCAAAAACATAATGTGTGTGTGGAAGATGAAGTGTGTGGAGGGAAGGGGAAGAACTTAAATCTGTAACAACACTTAAATCTGAATTATATTACACTGTGTGAAAAATAAAAGGGGACGGTCTACACGATGCTTTTAAAAGAGACAGAGGTAAAGCCTTTGATGCCGACTGTTATTAAATGCAACCACTAAACTCTCTGTCACTGAGACACCATAAAGCTTCGATGACGATTAGGTTTCTCATGGAGATTTTTCTAGAGAGTAAGTTTCAATGAGGCAATTTCTATTTTTTAAGGCGAGTTTGGTACACAACAGTTCACCAGTACCTAAGAGCCTAATTATGTCTTGGGGGGGGGGGTCTCCAGAACTGAAAATCGGAGCGTCAAGACTCTAGGATGTGGTAACCCCACCAAAGCATCCCCTGAAATCTGTTTCTCAGCAAACCATTCCAAACCCCAATCCTTAAATATAATTTTGGCTTTGCTTTCTTGGAGTACTGCTAGGATATCATCATGAGGTTACTTTTCGTGAAGTTTAATTTGAAATTAAGTAATAAAAATAACTTTACAGTCCAAATTAAACCAAAAAAGTCAACCACCACTGATTTTGCATCCTGGAATTGAAAAATTCCAATTTGAAAAATTCCATCCTAGAATACCAATTTGAATCCTGGATTTGAGGAATTCCAAAAACCCCATTTGCTCTTTCACTCTGAAAACCAAGTTAGTTACCTCTCAGAGAAGCCATCAAAGTCAGAAACCAGATCACACATCCGCAGCCCACTCCGAGCAGCTTTGGAAGAATAAACTGGGCCAATGCCCTTTTTTGTGGTACCCAAGCTTAAAAATAAATCAGAACAAGCTTTGAGTTAGACAAGAAAGATGGAGTTCTTGTGGTCAGATCATCACATCGAATGAAGGTACTTGGACTATTTTCTGTCTTTGCTATTTTCTATAAGTTTAATTTCACAATCCTATTGATTTTCTCTAGAATCTAAACAGGGTATTCTAATAATTTTTCTTAAACCTCTGGCCTACAATTTAAACATTAGGGTCTGGATATGCTTAAACTGCACCGAAAATAAAAACAAACAAACAAAAAAACCTACTTTTTTCCTGCTTGTTCTTGTCTCTGTTGCTCCTGGATACCATCAGCGGCTTGATGAAAATCAAATACTGAGGGGAAAAAAACCAAATCACAATTGTTGTCGAAACAAAGGTAATACAGGAAGAGCAAAACATACTGCATTTTGAATTACTTAAGCTATAAATCCCTTAGCCTAATTTCATCAGGACTAATCAAATGGATGCATTTTATTTTTTTTAAAAGATTTATTTATGGGGGAGGAGACAGAAAGAGAAAGAGAGAGAGGGGGCACGAGCAGGAGGGGCAAAGGGAGAGGGAGAGAGGATCTCAACCAAACTCCACGCTAAGTGTGGAGCCCGACGACCTGAGCTAAAACCAAGAACTGGGACTCAACCAACTGTGACACCTGGCACCCCAAGTGTATGCGTTTTAAAAAGCAGCAACAATGGTGGGAGGGAAGGTTTAGTATGCCAACAGGTATACAAATAGGGAAATACGCCCGATTGTTCATTCCTACTAACTGCAACCTATGTTGTGGTTTTAGGAACTGTCAGTAAGAGGGTACCCCACAATTCTATGAAGTTCAGTTTACTAGGATACTCTCTTTCTTTAGCTTCTACCCTCCAGACATCTCTGGGTTATTCTGCCATCTCTCTCTCTCTCTCACACACACCAGTCTCTCACGAGCTTCCACTGTCTCCAGCAAAACTCTAGCCAACTAATGAGGGTGCATATTTCCACTCCTGGACATCTCGAATTCATAATTTTTAATGCAACAAAGCCGTCTTTCCACGACACAAATATGATGTCACTACTCCCATGCCTTTAAAAGTGAATGGCTTTCTATTGCTCGAAAGAAAAAGGATAATTTGATGTGGCTCTGTGCATGGATAGTGCACTCTTTAATCTGGGGCCCCCTTTCTGCCCTTGGGTCACACGGATATTCTTCTGCAGCCGAGGCTACAAAGCATACCCTTCCGCCTGAGTGTGCCTTTTCCTGGGCCTGGACGCGCAAGCGCACTCACGCCCACATGCTCACTCTCTCTCACCAGTATTTTATGAGTCTTGGGACCATGTCAGTTAGCTTACCAGTTGATTTCCTGAGACTACAAGTTCTCAAATATTTAACCGACTGAGTAAATAGCGACTTTATGGGACAGGCAGGTCTAGAATTTGGTCTTCAAACTTTTTTTTTTTTTAAGATTTTATTTATTTATTTGACAGAAATCACAAATAGGCAGAGAGGCAAGCAGAGAGAGAGAGAGAGAGAGAGAGAGAGAGAGGGAAGCAGCCTCCCTGCTGAGCAGAGAGCACCAAGTGGGGCTTGATCCCAGAACCCTGGGAGCGTGACCTGAGCTGAAGGCAGAAGCTTTAACCCACTGAGCCACCCAGGTGCCCCTGGTCTTCAAACTTTTAACCAAGGCTTCTTTTGTTTCAAAAAAAAAAACCTTATGGGAATATAATTTACGTACCATAAAATTCACACACTAAGTACAACTGGATCATTTTTCCGTACATTAAACCATGGCTTCTTTTCGCTAATGATTGCTACTGTACCCAGTAAGTTGAAATGTATAAATTTTAAACAGAATGACTGATATGAGGTTCCTAGAACTAGTGGTGGCATGTGTAAAAGAATTATTTGGCAGTGTCAGAAAACTAATGCTGTAGTTATAGATGTAGAAACTGGGAAAAAAAAAATCAAGGAGATCAGACCTTAAGCCACCGTCTGATCAACCCTAGCCTCTAGTATTTGATCCTAAAGCCTTTTTGCCCTAAGTTCTCTTTCTGAGACACTGCAGAATTGCCAAGGCAGTCATCTCCTCTGCCTGGCAAAGTTAATAAGCGCAGACTAATGGGATTCCCTAGTGGTCTCATGGGGAGTTCTAATACTTCCTACACTAGGTGATCACAATATAGAAACTAGATTTTTATTGTGTGATTTAAAATTATCCTGTAAATCACTGTCTGTCTCAGTGTCACAGAACTGGGTGAGATCCTTAAACTACAGTGGCCTATCATACACCACACGATATTTATGGGAACGTGCAAAGCAATATTACTTATAATAACTCAATATTGGAAATGACTCAAAGTTTCATCCATGGTAAAAATGGATAAACTGTCCCATATTCATAAAAGGGGATATACAATTCAGCAATGAAAGTAAGATACTGCTTCATTTAATAATATGGAGGACTCAAATGGGCATACTGCTGAGTGGAAGTCAGACACAACAGATTACATAAATGTGTGATCTGTATAAAATTCAAACACAAAGGAAACCAATCTATGATGAGAGAACAGTGGTTACCCTTGATGAGGGGGACTAGATAATAACTAGGAAAGGTCATCAGAGAAGGTTTTTTTTTTAACGGAGATATACATACAACATTAGTTTCAGGTGCAGAATATGACTGGGTATTTGTATACACAGCAAAATGACTGCCACAGTGAGTTTAGTTAACATCCAACACCATAAACAGCCACAGATTTTTTTTTTGTGATGAGAACTTTTTTTTTTGTTTTTCTTAACTAGACTCCATGCCCAACGTGGGGCTTGAACTCACACCCCTGAGATCAAGACCCAACATCGAGAGCCGGATACTCTCCTGATTGAGCCACCCAGGTACCCCATGCTGAGAACATCTAAGATCTATTATCTTAGCAACTTTCAAATAATGCCATACGGTATTATTAACTAGAGTCGCCATGCTGTCCAGGACATCTCTGTGACTCTTTTATCCTGTAACTGGAAGTCTGTAACTTCTGACCACCCTCACCTGTTTTGCACACCCCTACCAACTGCCTGTCTCTGGCAGTTACCAATGTGTTCTTCCTGTCTTTGAGTCTGTGGGGTTTTGGGGTTTTCTTGCTCAGAACTGCCTGGACTATTCCACTTCTTTGTAGTTCCATACAAGTTTTACGATTGCTTGTTCTACTTCTGTGAAAAATACCACTGTAATTTTGAGAGAGATTGCACTAATCTGTAGATTGCTCCGGGTAATATGGACATTTTAACAATATTAATTCTTCCAGTCCCTGGGCACAGAGTATCTTTCCATTTATTTGTGTCTGACTTAATTTCTTTCATCAGTGTCTTAAAGCTGTCAGTGTATAGGTCTGTCACATGCTTGACTAGCAGAGTAGCTTTTTCAGGCACGATAAAGGTTCTGTATAACAAGGTAGTCAGTGGTGAAAGGGGTAAAATACTGTGCACTTACTGGGCATTTTGCTGTATTGTGTGCTATGTTAAAATGTTTACTTATTTCTAACAATAGCTATCATATACAATAGGAATTAGTTTACTGTCACGTTCCTAATTTAGTATATACCTTATAGCCTTCCTTTCTCATCTACTTTTGAGGGGCCAGAATAGTTCTTAAGAAGCTGTTTCATTAAATTCCGACCTTGCTAGTCAGGACAAAAACTGAGATGTTGGAGGAGACCATTTCTTTTGAAAGAAAAGACATTTTATATTTAAGTATCTGCTTTATCTTCTATGTTCAAATGAGTTACAAAGGCACATGGCAAATCACAAGTAAATGGTTGATGGAAAGCAGGTAAACCATATTTTTCAGAAGTTAATTTAGTACTTGCCACAGAGCTAATGGTTTTTAGGTTTTTCTAGGCCCCAGGGAGCTATTAGGGAAATCAACATAATTACTTTCATAAAGCTCCGTTGTGGCACGGAGCCTTAATACCTCCACTAACACTGTTTTTGAGAGAACAGTTTTTGTGTGAAGTTGTGTTGAATATCTCTTCCATTTTCTATACTGAGGACAAAAAATGCTGCCTTGGGGACTCAGTTTAATTTTTATAAAAGATGATTATGCGTGTTCAATAGGTAAATTTCATTAACACCATCTTTTTTTGTTATTATCATTAAGTTTTATTAACACTAATAATGTTACAATGTATGAATGTGTCCAGTGTGAGCCTCAGTACCCAGAGTATCCACTTTGCTGACGTCTCCCATCTCCTCAGGTCTTCTTTCCTCAAAGTGTTTTTTGGTTTTTGTTCTTTAAATTGTGGTCACTTAACGTGAGATCTACCCCCTGAACAGATTTTTAAGTCACAATACAGCACTGTTATCAACAGTCTCCGTGTTGTACTACGTGTCTCTGGAACCTATTCATCGGTCATCCCCTTCAGCAGATGCTGTGAACGTCATCTCCATAGTGAAATGTCCCCAGCCACTTTATCTCAAGTTATAGATCCCCACCCGTCTCCTAGAGACTGCCAGATGGTCCACAGGGCTCCTTTCTCTCCTTGGAACTCATCGCTATGTGCCATGGCACATTATCACATGTTCATCTCATTTATTATGTCTCCCCCTACTATACTATAAGTTCCACTAGGAATTTTCATTGGTCTTTTCTGAATCCTTGGTGCCCACCACCATACCAGGCACCACACCAGTTCTTTCATCAGGGAGTTGCTGAGTCAAAGGACAGACCACCCAACAACCTGCATTTCAAATGTTTAAAAAAATTTGAAGTCTCAGCCACTTCTCGGGTCTCTTTCCCTCAACAAGGATCTCTTATACCACAAATTTTGTTATGCGTTTCAATGAGACAGGGCACAATTATAATAGATAGTTTCTTGTGTACTTGCTAAAGTATGGTAATTGTAAAGAACCGGCCAACAATGGACTCCTTCTTAGATTTCTCTGTAAGGAAGCTGGCTGTTCAAAGCAAAACTATTAAGAACACATTATAGAGTTTATTATGATGCGGACATGAAATGTAGGACAATAATGACACAAGGGACTGGAAGAGGGAAACTGAAACATTTTCTTATAAAAATCTTGGGTTATGGGGCACCTGGGTGGCTCAGTGGGTTAAACCTCTGCCTTCAGCTCAGGTCATGATCTCATCAGAGTCCTGGGATCGAGCCCTGAGAGCCCTGCATCGGGCTCTCTGCTCAGAGGGGAGCCTGCTTCCCCCCCCCTGCCCCACCGTCCCGCCTCTACCTGCCTCTCTGCCTACTTGTGATCTCTCTCTCTGTCAAACGAATAAATAAAATCTTAAAAAAAAAAAACCCTTGTGTTAAATGTTATTATTTTAAGGTGGATAATGATCGCTTAAAGTTGTATATTATAAATCCCAGAACAACTACCAAAATTCACAAAACAGGAGGTGTAAACTAGTAAACTAATAGTGCAGATAATATTTAAAATGTTAAATCTAAAAGAAATCAGCAAAAAAAGAACAAAGACAAACAAAAGGAACAAACAGAAAAAAGATATAAATACGATCATACTGATAATTAACTATATTAAAAATAAATGATTTAAACACTTCAATTAAAAGCATACATTGTCACAATGAATAAAAGGCAAGGCTTAACTATATTTAGACTATAATAAATGTCCTGTAAATATAAAGATATAGATAGATTAAAGATTATTAGATTGAAAAAGACCATGCAAATACTAATCTCAAGAAAACTCGGCTGGCTAGGGTGCCCGGGTGGCTCAGTTGGTTAAGCGACTGCCTTCGGCTCAGGTCATGATCCTAGAGCCCTGGGATCAAGTCCCACATCAGGCTCCCAGCTCCACGGGGAGTCTGCTTCTCACTCTGACCTTCTCGAACCCTCTCATGTTCTCTCTCACTCTCTCTTTCTCAAATGAATAAATAAAATCTTAAAAAAAAAAAAAAAAAGCTCTGCTGGCTGTATTAATATTGAAGTAAGCTTTGATATTAAGGAGTATTAAAGAATAAGGAATATTACCATAGAAAAGGAGGACATTTCATCATGATGAAAGAGTTAACTCATCAAAGATGTAAATTTAAATACACATGCAATCTACCTGAGCTTCAAAGCAGACAAAGCAAAAATTGACAAAAGCTGAAAAGAAAAATAGACAAGTCCTCAATTCTTGTTGGAGGTTTCAACATGCCTCTTTCTAGGTGACTGACGGCAGCCAGGAAAAACTCAGCTAGGACACAGAACAGCTCTACTCAAAAGAACACGTATTCTAAGTGCATGTAGAACACTAACCAAAACAGACCCTGTGCTGGGCCAGAAAACAAGTTTCAACAAATTTAAAAAGATGGAGATCATACATAAAGTATATTCTCTGTCTGCAACAAAATTAGAAATAAGAGAAATCAGAAAAATCATCCAATATTTAGAAATTTAAACATTTCTCAATAATTCATAGGTCAAACAGACATCACAAAAACAATACCAAGTATTTTCTACTGAATGGAAATAAACATACAAAATGTCAATATTTGTGCAATGTAGCTAAGGCAGTGTGCAGCTTTAAGTGCTTATATAAAGAAAAGAATGGTCTGAAGTCAATGATCTAGTAAGCTTCTGAAGAGGCTAGAAAAAGTGAGTAAAACATGTCAGTCCAGCACAGTTTACTTCAAAGAAGTTATTTTCTTGCATTACTGAGGCTACGCACAGACTTCCAGCCCCTGACTGTTATCTGGAGGCACGGGTACTTAAAAACTTTGATGGGCTCCTCTTTTTTCGCTGTTTTTTAAATATAGGCAGGCTCCATGCCCAGGGTGGAGCCCAATGCGGGGCTTGAACTCATGACCCTGAGGTCAAGACCTGAGCTGAGGTCAAGAGTCAGACCCTTCACAGACTGAGCCACCCAGGTGTCCCTACTGGCGCTGCTCTTAAATGGGGGTCAAGGCTAAAACCAGAGTAGCCACTGCCTCAGGGGACACCCGTACTGAAATACAACGGAAGAGTTTTGTACCAGTCCAATCTCTCTTTCCAGGTTATTGTCTCGATAATTAACAATTCCATCACCTCAGATAGGAGAGTAATAGGAAACAAACTTCAAATTTGTTAGTGGGACTGAAATTACCTTGAGAATCCAGTTTGCTCTAACTAATCGTGGAGGAGAAGGCTACTCTGAATAAAGTCTGGACCATTGAAAAAGCTGCATTATTACATTTAAGACACAAAGAGTTCACTTAATAATTTGCCAGAGAGCAGACCTGCTTTTACATAATTAATGTGCAAATAAATATTTTGATGCAGTGTATTTTATAACAGAATTAGAGATGTCTTGTGAAATACTGCTTTTATGACTCATTTGGTTAGCTAATTCTTTCTTCAGAAATTGGTAAAACTGAGCCTAGTTAAGGACTAGGCTTAACAAAAGACCAAAAAAGAAAAAAAAAGGAAAACATTACTAAGATTTCATGTATTTGGAGCCCAACTATATAATCCATCCTATTTAGCCTTCACTAAAATTAAAGAAAAATTGGCTGCTAAATGCTACCATGTGACAAGTTTCTGACAATAAGACAGTTAAATGCGTTATGTGCCCCTTACCAATATGAGCTCTGTCAGATATGATAAGCCTTTTTTCCCAGCCTTCCAGACCTAGAGGAGAAAAAAGATACAAGGTATTAAATACTTTGTATAATATCTCATTTCTTTAGAAATACAATGTTTAAAAGTGTTTTTCACAGAAGTAATCACTTACACATCTTGTCTTCTGTATAGGAAACATGTTAAACAAGAATTTTCTCACCTGTCATTTATTATATCTACACTCATTCACTTATTCTGTCTTTTTAAGTATTTTATTCTAAACAGCTCCAAATGTAAACAAACCAAATCCACATAATATACTTCAAAGAATCCAAAAGCAAATGGGAGGAAAAGGTCATTACTGTTAGAGGCAGGGGAGGGGTAATTAGCTGCAGAGCAGGAAAGGGTTTTCCAAAAGACAATTATAAATAGGTGGGATTAAATGAAATAATAAAATATTCTCACTAATTCCTCCAAAGCACTATCAACCACTGACCTTACTACAACGACTTATAACATGATATACACGTCTCTCCATTTAGCTGTGAATGCCTGAGAGCAGGGACCATGAATTTTCATAGCATGGGGCCTATCATCCCATAACTGTTCAAAGAACTACTGCTGAATGAATAAATGAATCTAAATGGATATGTTTCTTTAAAGACAGTGCCTTAGTGAGCTACATGCATTCTAAGAATAAGCTGCGAGGCTCTAAACATTTTCAAAGCTAGTATCTAGATAGTAAAACTTCGCTGTTAATTTTGATAATATCCAAAGATGTGTGTCGAAAAGGATTCTTTATAAAGAGGAAGTGCTAAAAGTGAAACGGGAATATTAAGCCTCCCCCTCTATAGCAGTTTTTGACATGTGAGTACGTATTCTAAAGTTAGCTTCAGGCATATTATACAGAAAATATTACAAAGAGAGTAAAGCGGATTCAGCTGGTAAGACAGGCCAAAAGGAAAAAGAAAGGAGGGCAAAATTTTTAAAGGGGATTTAGGAGAACAGGGGGCAACATGGGAACCAGCTGATCAAATTCAAAAGTAGCCAACGACACCTAGACACCTAAGTAAAAAATGCAGAGAGGACAACAGAGATGGTAGGAGGGCAGGCAGGAGTCAGATTTAGTTGCTAGGAACACTTGAGGTTGGGTTGTTGCTTTTAAACCTGAACAATGAACTTCAACAACATAATGAAACTGAGTATTTTAAATAGGAGCCAAGCTAAAGGGAAACAATACTTTTCCTCAACTGCGTATTATTTGCATGACCAAATTCCCCACCAAACCCTAGCACGGCAGCCAAAGTGAATGTAAACAGCCTTCCAAAAACCCAAAAGAGATTACTAGGAAGGGCAGGAAATGAAGCCTTAAAACACATTTTTTTTTTGAGGAGCCGGAAGTAAATACCTGTCACAGAAGAAGCATCTCCTTCATTTGGAAGGAGGGAGGTAAACAACCCACTTTTATCCCTGGGCTCTATAATCAACAGAAACAAGACTCACTGACCCAGTGTGCAAAGGGGACCTCACTGGTTTCCTGACTCAGGAAGTTAATGTTTGGTTTGGGAGATGGGGACACCGACTTGAGCACAAATGACAAAAAGAACTCAGGAATCTCTGAGTCTCACCGCCGGTGGACAGTAATCCCAGCAGCCTACAGACACTCTGCGGATGACCCAGGTGTGAAAAGTCCGGGCTTACACAATGACCATAATGTGTGTGTCTTTTGTTTAAAATACTGATTAAAATGAATACAATTTAACTGAAAAAGCTGCCCCACAGTAACCAGCAATTTTAAAGTATAAGACAAAATGTTAACTTTGTATGACGTGAGATCCCAGTGCAATTTCCAAAAAACAAACTAGTCCCTAGGCAAAGTGGTCATTCTTTCCATACCTTTTCCTTTTTGGACATTTTTCTCTGCTTCCTCAAATAATCCGGGAAGATGAATTACCACACCATTTCCTAAAGGAAAGCAAACATATCCCAACCTTAAATATCTATACTTATAATACAGACATCTACGATAACCCTTACCTAGAAGAGTGTAAAAATGAAGACTTTGACAAATGGGACGTCTGATCAAGGGAGTTACCACAGAAATGATTCCAGTTTTAAACAGTAGTGTAATGTAAATACATAATACATAGAATATAAAACACTAATATTACATTCAGTATAATTTGAAATTTCTTTAAAACAAAGTAAAACTGATCTTTTGAAAGAACCAAGTTGCGTCGTTCTAGGCAAATGGAACAAAGTTACAGCAGACGCTAAATCAAGGCCTTTCAAATTAGGGAATCATATCCTATTAGTGATGAGAAAGTTAATTTAGTGGGTTAAAAGTGATTAGCATTTTTAAAGATTAAAAACTGGAAGGCTGCAGATTGCATCATGTTATAAGGGTTCAGAATCAATCCACAAAACACCCCTTATATTGCTCACTGTGCAGCAGTGTTTGGAAAGCTAACCTGCTGATCTAGTTTATAGAATTAAGATTGCTAACGACACTTAAACACACACTATTCCAAAAAGTATCAGCGTTAAAAGACAGAGTTGTAAAATAGCCAGGTAGGTATATTCCAGAAGGTACCAAGGTGAAGACTAACAAGGGATCAATGAATCATTTGAGTAGTGAGAGATGAGATCAGCTCAGATAATGAAAAATGAACACAATTATCAACTGGGGGGGGACCCCAAGTGGTTCGGTTCATACACTTACCAATGAATGCAGTAACATTTGGGTTAATTATTCCACTGGGTAGAAGATGAAAATCATATTCCACAGAATCTACAACAACTGTATGGCCGGCATTATTTCCTCCCTGAAAGTACAAGACGGGAAAATTGAACCTGACAATAAATATGACGAGTAACATATCTCCAAAGTGAATTAATCATTTCTTCCTAAAATGTCAATATAACTTGAGAAAACCCAAGTATGTATCTCCCACAAATATATACTCTTCAGAGGCTTCACGTTATTTTGGCTACCCTCTCTTCTTTCCCCATCACAGTACCCTGGAGTGGTTTCTTTCCTGACAGGAACTAGGAAACTGGGGAATTCAGGTTTCTGGAACATTGACAGACATACACCCTCTTAAAAGAAAAAAACGTGAAAAAAGTACGGGGAACAATATTTTGTTCTTGGCACTCTCTAGGACATGGAGCAATCTAATTAAAAATCCATGATATTTTATCTAAACGTAGAAAAATCCCTAAATTAGGGGCACCTGGGTGGCTCAGTGGGTTGGGCCTCCGCCTTCAGCTCGGGTCATAATCTCAGGGTTCTGGATCGAGCCCCACATGGGGCTCTGTGCTCGGAGGGGAGCCTGCTTCCCCCTCTTTCTCTGCCTGTCTCTCTGCCTACTTGTGATCTCTGTCAAATAAATAAATAAAGTCTAAAAAAAGAAAAGAAAAGAAAAATCCCTAAATTAGAAAAGAGGAATCTAACCAGTTACCCTAAGTTGATGTAAACATTTACGTAATTCCCATCGTATTCAGAGTATCAAGCAGCTCTGTGACCTGAAATTTGTATTTATCAACTGGGAAATTTCCCAAGGAACTTTTAAATTTATGAGTCAATCCTGTGAGTCTGTTTGGTACCAATCCCTGAATCCACTCATTTCTGGATAAAATAATATACTGGGTCAAGGTATCCCTAAGCGGAGAAACATACTATAAACCCACAGTGAAACTTCCTGAAGCTCAGGCCTAAAATGGTCAAGAAGAAGCAAGATATGAAGTCGGGTTCTAAAAATCAGGTGCACAGCAGATGGATCAAGTGACCAGATAATTTTTCTATTTTTAAGTTTAAAAAACACAGAAGAAAAACCAACCAACTGATTATATGCCTAAACTTCTATACTTTGACAGTAACAAGAAGTTTAAAGCAAAAAACTAGGAATATATTTGCAACAAATAAAAACCTTAACATCCTGGCTGGACTTTAAAAAAATTCCAATCGAAACTACGTCCCTTGAGAATGACTGGTTTAACTTTATCCCGTGGCTATTTTTGACAAGATGAATGTTATTTACTTTTTACCAAATCATCAACAATCAGGAATTCACCAAAAAAAAAAAAAAAAAAAAAAGCCAGAAAACAGGTCCTGCAAAGGGAAAAAAAAATCCTCTAAAAAGTAAATGCCTATTTAGACTGTGTTTCGCACAGATACAAAGCAAAGAATTCCTTACTTAAAGACTAGTGTACGTCAGGTGTGAAAAAGACTGCAGTGGGGACCTGAAGTCTGGAAAACAATGGGGGGATGGCAAGCAATACCTCCTTGCCTCGATACACCAACAGGACCAGTGACTATTTCCTTCCTATTTATTTTTTAATACGAAATATCTGCATATAATACAAAAGGCACAGACGGGACACACAGTGAAGTTTTCCTCATGCTCCTCTCCCCACCCGCCCTACCCGGCTCCAGGCCAGCCAGCTGCCACCAGTTTTTGGTGTCCTTCCCGAGGGAATTTTGCATAAGCGAACAGGTATTTGCGTGTTGTTTTATTCCACACATACAAGTGGCAGCAAACTACATACTCCTGGGCAGCTTGTTTTTATTAAGCAAATCTGGGCACACATTCCTCACCCTGCAGCCAAAGCATCTCCTCCTTTTAACAGCGACACTGTCCTGCTACTCATAAGGACACGGAATTTATTTGCCTGGTCCCACCAAAGAGGCAGCCCGGTTGTTTGCAACCTTTTGTCGTTATAAACAATGTCACAGTACACTTCCTGGTGCACACTTTATTATTATTTCACACTTGTGCAAGCTTACCACCAATTCTTATAGACTCCCAAGATAAAAATAACTCAGGACAATTCTTACTTGGTTTTTATTGTTGTTGTTTTTTAAGATTTTATTTATTTATTTGACAGAGACAGAGATCACAAGTAGGCAGAGAGGCAGGCAGAGAGAGGAAGGAAAGCAGGCTCCCTGCTGAGCAGAGAGCCAGATGTGGGGCTCGATCCCAGGACCCTGGGATCATGACCTGAGCTGAAGGCAGAGGCTTTAACCCACTGAGCCACCCACGCGCCCCCTTACTTGGTTTTTAAAGAGTATCTTTTACTCTATCCCTCCTACCAATATTAGCCTTTTTATCAGGACTTTTTATGATTTAGGAAACCTCCCACAAACTTTCAGGAAAAATCTTTTCAGAATATGAAGCTCATTAAAATTTCTTGAGATGCTATGAAGATGCTAAATCCTAAATTGTTATAAATCACTAAATCTAATAAATTTTTACTAAATTGCTAAAGCATTAGTAATTTTCCACAAGAAAACCAGTCAAGATTATTTCAGCAAAATCATTTTTTTGTCATTTTATTTTTTTTGTTATTTTATTGTTTCCATCATTTGCTTAAGATAAAAAAAAAAAAAAAACCACACCATAACTTTTGAGAAGACCTTTAAGTAAGTCTCCCTAATTTACACAAAATTATTTTTATAGAGATACCAAAATATATCTTTTGCTGAAACTATTATTAACTCGGTGGTGCCCAATTATGATCTTATTGTGTAACGAAACCCTACTTTGATATTTTACCGAGATAGGCAGCACTGGTGGCAGTAACCGTAATAAAGACATGTTTCTTTCTGTGACGCAGGTGGTTGTGAACTGAGCCATCGTGATAGATGATGTTAGGGGGATAAACTGCCTTAATCTGTAAATTCTTCCAAGTTTACAGGTGGTGGTTTGGGCTGGAAAAGTTCACTGCAAAAGGCTTGAATCACTTTACTGAACTGCTGAGCTCACTCCAACATTAACCCACCCCTTCAATAACCAATGTCCTATAAGGCTTACTATCTGATTAAAATCTCATTTAAATTCTATTTTGTTGAGCAAGAAAATATGGTTAAATATATCTAGAATAACGCTAGATTATCCTATTAAGGAGCTAGGGGAGAAAAATGTAAGTGTGCTTCTTAGGATAGCTGGTCATTAGTGCCCTAAGGGGAAATGGGGGTATGACAGCTTCTAATCTTAAAACACACAACTGTAGAAACAAGATTCTCAAGGTGAAAAAAAAAAAAAGATTCTCAAGGTGAACAGTGAAGAACTACTAAGGAGATTCTTAACAAGGCAATCCGTACATGAATTAAGTTTAGGATACAGCCATGTTTTACAAAATGCAACAGATGAAGCTTCAAATTTGAAGTGTCTATTTGGATGCTAACATAAAATATTTATATTTTATATGTGGAATATACAAAATTCACCTTGGGAGCTCAGGCATTTGTCTCCGAACATAGATTATACTGGTCCAAGGAGAGGTCACATGCGTTAGCAAAGAGCAAAACAAGGTTTCGACAGGAACACCACTGCCAACCACCGCCTCACCCACCCACCCAAACCCTCCAGGGAATTACAAGGGCAGAGTCTGAACCTGGTTCCACATCTGTGATCACACTGCCTCTCCCATGAGCAAGCAACTCTATGAGCGGGTGCCAGAATAAGCAGCAAGAACGCATATATTTAATCAGGTTTAATAATTTCTTGTAAGTAGCACTGGGGAGGCCAGATAACTATATAAATGTTAAGACATAAAATATTTTCTTGCCTACTTTTAACAGGAACATACCATTTGCTTTTCAATGCAAAATTTCTGCAAAACAAACTTGATAAATTATCCCTAATTTATATAGTACTAATCATGTGTTCAGGTTATCAGTTAATATAAATAACTACCTCGTGCTGTTTTGCTAAATACCCATAACTCACGATCCCAGTCAGTCATGTAGCATTTAACACTTAATTATCAAAGTTGTATGTTTTATATTATGTAACTAAAAACACAGAATATTGTGGACTAGCAATTAATGTTGTTTCCAGATCAATCAGATCAATAGAGAAAAGGTTTTTTAACTATTTAAAATTTTTAATATTTTTATTTGAAATATAACTTCTCAAACCCCAAGAAACAAAAGACCAGCATGAACCCAAAGTGACTCCATATTACATGGCAACTTTCTTTAAAGAAAAACACAAGTTTATAATGCCTTACTGATGACTGAATACCAAGAATAAATGCAAATTCATTGTATTAAAGAATAAATATACAAAAAAAAAAATTCCAATCAGGTCTCACCAGTCACAAAACATCCCCTAATTTGGTATTTATTTTACTCATTTTCTTTGACTATTACTGTTACATCAGGATTAAATGTAAAAAAAATTATTAAATATGCTTTTTAATGACCAAGAAAAAAATGTCCCCATTGACAAATTAGAAGATGATGAAGGGGTGAAGAAAAAAAAAAAAAAAGAAGAAACTAAAATTCTATGTTCTCAAAGCTTAAAAAAAAAAAAGTCAAAGTTTCTGACGTATACTTTTTCATTTTTTAAAACCACTACTGAGATAGTTCATTTTCATTGTTTTATAGTTAAAATAATAAAAACCTATTTAATTCCAAACATTCTTCCCTCAAGAAAAACCCTAGGTCAAACAGTTAAGACTATTAGCAGACAATTCACAAATAATAACCCAAAATTAATAGCTCCTCCTTCCGTATTTTCCTATCTGAAATTAACTCTAGGTCAGCCATACCTTTTGTGTGTTCAGTCCCTTTTCTTTCCCTTCCTCCCTCCTAAACCCCTTATTCTGCAAATCATAGTAATCATTCCCTCTGGCCACAGTAATTGATCCAGACCTGGAAACTTGATCTAACCTAAGCCTGAGACAAGCTCCTCTCCTCTAGGAATTTGATTGTGAGAGCAAGGAGGGCAGTTAGTTTAGTGGCGCTTGGCATTTAGTGACCCCGCGCATTGAGGGGCGGGGGCGGGGGGGCTGCCAGCTCTGGCTGCTGAGATCCCAG